ACAGCAATTTTATCAAAGGTAGGTCAGTCTGTAAGTACCCGGATGAAAGTGGTAATTAGGTAAATCACACCTTTCCTTGTTAACACTTTTACCCATGCTAGATATGGAAGAAACATGGCCATTTTATTCTAAAAGCATTCTGTAAGCATAGATTCAAATACTGCATTAAACCTGACAGATAAACTGACTAAAATGCATTTCAAATCTAAGATGAAATTAGGTAATCACCAACATGTTGATACACCATAGCCTCTTAACAGCAATGCTGAATAGGCTTAAATTTTGCTTAAGATAATACCAATGGCAATGTTACCCGGGCAACGTCCAAACATCTGCTATCAAGTAGAATCAGTATTTTGAACTGTATTTAATTTCCATTCAAACTATTTCAAAAGGCCTGCAACTCTTTCAAGAAAGATTACTAGTAAAAAGGCTTTTCAGCATTTATAGCATTACCCTTAAATCGATCTTTCTTTGAGGACCTTTTTTAGGAAACTTTAGAATAATGATTTCAAAATTTTACTTGGAGATAGGGATTATTCAACTCAATGATCCCTTTTAACAGAAAACTATTTCATCTCAAACATGAGCACTCTCAACTTTCAGTAATAAATACACCCCATTATTTACATGAAACAATGTCGCTGCTGAAAAAGAGCATACTTATTTTAAAAAATATGTTAATTGTTGAAAAACTTTTATCACATTTAAATAGAATGGCTTTACTTTTTCCGCCTTAAACTGCGGATAGGTGAGTGATTAGCCTTATCATAGGTGAGTGAATTAGCTTTATCATAGGTGAGTGATAGCCTTTAGTCACTGCATAAATTTATCGGCCAGTCGCACATCTATTCTAGATAGTCCACATAATAACATCTTCATTATTAACATAAAACATTTTGACAAGCCATTTTCTGCTATGATAAATGACTATATTTAAGTAATGCCTCATGTTAATAAGACTCAAGGCCAATGCACCTGAAATATAACCTTCGCACTAAGTCAAGCCAATTTTCAAATTATATGGTGAATTTACCAGTAATCAACCCATTTTTGATACATGTACCTGTAATTAAACCTTTCTTACACATTTGCCTGTAATTAGGCTTATTTTGATTAAGAAAATACACAATGCATGTTACCCCAACAACCAAACCATCACTGGTATCAAGTAGAACAGTCAAACTGTCACTGTAACTGTCACATTTAATATTCAATTAACCCCACCCACCCATTATTTAGTAAAAGGTCAAACTGAAGGTCAAACTGCCATTTCCACAAAGATTACTCCATTAAAAAATCTTTTACAGACATTTATGACAGTTCATTAAACACTTTATTAAATATAAAATTGATTTTCATTTGAAGGTTAATCCTTGAATTTTAGAGAAAATCAATTTCAGAAATAATTATTTTTCAACAATTTTACTATCTGAATAATTATTCAAACTTTAATGATCCTTTTAACAGAAAAAAAACTATTTTTCATCTCAACATGACACTCTCAAATTTCAGTAATAAAAATAACCCCATTATTTACATAGAAACAATATCTTCTAAAAAGAGTATACTTAACTTTTGAAAGAAATATGTTTAATTGTTTGAAACTTTATATCACATTTTACTATAATTGGCTTTATTTTTCCCCCCTTAACCTGCTGGGATAGGTGAGTGATTAGCCTTTATCCCCGCCAGTAAAGGATCAGGCCAGTTGGCACATTTAATTCTAGATCTGTCACAATAATAACCATCTCTCATTATTAACCAATAAAAACACTTTTAGACAAGGCCATTTTTCATGCTATGGATAAATGATATAGTTTGAAGTGGTAGCATAGCTAAGTGGTTAATGAGTCGAAGTTGTATTACCTAATGACTGCTATCCACATGGGTTCAAACCTTACGGCAGGGGCAAGTCTTGTTTCCTTGAGCAAGAAACTTTACACTTATTACAGGTTGATTCCAGGATCAGATAAAAAGTGTGTCCATTAAGCTTTTAGCTTCTTACACAATCAAACTAAAATGGATTCTCTATACCAAAGACATAGATTTTTATGATACTGAGTCTGAAATAGTATGACATAAAGCTCAATTCCAACAACTATACCTTTAAGACAAGCAAAAGAAAGACCAAACCACCCCATTTATCGAACACCGGTGGTTCTTTTCAGGTCCCTGTTTATGCCTGAAAGAATGCATCAAAGCACAACTGAGGTCTTTCTCCACCTGTATGGCTGGAAAGTGGCCATATTATGACCTATACTGTACAGGTTGGTGCAATGTAAAACCCCACCAAAAAGAAACAAAAACAAAACCACCAGGCCTGGTCTATAAAATATTGACCTTAACATAATCTTACCTACTGTAGAATTACTTCAGAAAAATCAAAATGGAAAAGAGAAAAGAAAAAGAAGAAAAAGGTTCTCAAATTCTGGTCTAAATTATTATAATGTAAACAAACCCTCCTTGGCTACTTATTTTACACGACCAGATCTTAGTGATACTGAGAAGAATAGGAAAAATGTGGAACTCATTTGTAATACATTATTAAGTTTTAATTTAGAGAATAAAACGACCACAGTATAAGCAATTGCAGCAATACTTTTGTAACTAAATGAACTTTTGGAATGTGATACTGCTATACTGTAACAAGCCCCCTATTAATTGTCATAAACTAAGCCAACTTCAAAGGCGTCCAATCATCTTATAATCATGAATGAGAAAATAAATTCACTATTTGCTAAGTCTAACGTAGTCAAACAACAGTAGATGGACAAATACATTTGTATTTCATCTTAAAATTCAATTTAGTTAACAAACATTAAAACACTATTTCTGTCATGTTTTTCAAACTGGGCCAGATAATAAGTTTTGATTACATTCTATTTTTGGGGTATCAGAAATCAAATATTTAGAAAGTACAAACTGATATTTCACATAATAATGATGGCAGCCATAGTGACTTGCCACTAAGAGCCAAGCTGTGAATTCTGACTTGGCTTGTTATACTGTTTGTGAAATGGATTTGCACTGCCTTAATTTGGAACGGTCCATTCAAAACTGAGGGGAATTCAGTATTAAAACTACCCACAGTAATGTCTAATGAGACTTTGTCTGACCTGACACCATATTGGTGGTAAAGGCAAATCACGTCTGATTCTAGCAAGGTAACAAGCAAAATTTAGACATATGACCTTGAAGGTCAAGGCCATTTATGAATGAAGGTCAAGTTTAGTCTGATTAACTTGAAGGTCTTGTGTTAAGGGTTGTTATGGCCCAGTATGGAGACAATACACCAAGAACTTAAAAAGTTATGATCAAGGTTAAAGTTTGCGGACAGCAACAGCAATGCCAACATGACTGTAACAATAACTCTACTTTTTTTCTTCGAAAAAAAAAGACGAGCTCAAAAGGGTTAAAAGCCTTTTCTTACATTTCTTAACTACTATGATCACCTTTTGTGGTACCTGTCCCTCACCACAAACTATTCTCTTCCCGAAGTTAAGTAGTAACACATAAATATTTATAGATATACATTTATACATGACCTAGCAATTTTTTTACAAATTGATTTCTGTTGGAAAAATCAGCTAAATCAGCGAAACAAAAGTTTGCACAGAAAAGAAACACAAAACCTTTTGTTGAAAATATGGATTATTATACAGTAATTACATCAACCCTGTAGTTTAAATGTTTCCCTTTATAATGACCTGAACAAAGTGCTTTAATTTTCATTTATCAATAAATAAAAGGGAATCTAATACTGCAACGGAACTTTAGGCATTTTTTCTGCGCTGGTTGCCGTTTTTTTGTCTAATTAATAGCAATGGTTACATATTAGTCATAATAACTATGGTGATGTTTGTTGGTGTTACCATATTCATTGTTCAATAAATAACCGTTTTTTAACATTTTCTGTAACAAATCATTAATCCTTGATGACAAATACCCCCAAATAGAACTTAAATAGCCTAAATTTTAACAATTTTATTATAATATTTATATCTTTTAATAGCAGGTAAAAAAAAATCAACAAAAACTATTTTTACATGTAAATGCAATATAGACTGCAAATGAACTGACGGTGTTAATCCAAACCTTGGAAACTCTGTTTTCATGATAGTCTTTATTGATAGAATAGAAATTCAAATTCAAACAATCAAAGTTACTGTTCCTGTCACCACTAAAAGCCATTTTAGATATTGACTAATAACTCAGGTTTAAAAGCCTCTTCCCCATGTAGGCACTACATCACTATATTACGGGGTATCTGTTTGTTTGTGCTAAATCTTGTAAATCGTTAAGAACAGAACTTTTTAACCATTATCTTTCTCTAGTTGTATAACATGCTTGTTGAAATATATTACATAATTTATGATGTGCATTTAACTGACTGCCATGTTTACACAAACTCTCTTGAAATCAAGTTATTACCGCGAAGGGTTTTTAAATCTGATACATATTTTGGTGATTTTCAAGAGCTTTGCCGTGTTTCACACAAACAAACACACGTAAATATCCAATATTGCTTCAATATTTCTTAAATGCACTCTATTATTTCGTCACTTTTACAGAATGAAAGATTTAGACTTAACTTTCGAGAAATGTTGTTTCGTTCTTGGTCATGTTTTATTCATTTTTCTTTTTCATTTTTTCTACGTAGATGGGGAAAGGAAAAATACACGAAGTTGAGTGGGGGGCTATAGTTAATTTAAGAGGATAACAATATCAATTCAAAACTAAAACAGAAAACCCTCAGAGAAAATGTTTAAGATTTCTAAATCATTATTCATTCATGTCATTATGTTGTACATGTTTTCTTCTTTGGACCCAAGTCTTTGTTAAATATAAACTGGGAAGTTTATAATAAGCAAAGTTTAACTTCTGAAGTTTATTTTGATGGCCATTCTCGTATCTTCAAAACTTTGACTTAGAAGCCATTTATTACAAATTTTGGCATCAAGGCAAATTTTCTGGAAAACTAATGAAATGTTACTTACTCGTCAGATTTTTCTGAATGAAGCGACCCTTGCGATGATGATCCGATCTTATAATCGTGTGGTAATGTTGCTCGCTGATGATGATTTACGCCGTCGTAACGATGAAAAGACTGATGACTTGAATTCTGGGTCGTGCCGGAAAATGTTTTTGATTTAGGTATATTTCTATACCCGTCAATAGTGTTTTTCTCTACTAATATAACATGTCTTGTATTTCCTCCGACTGTCCGCCGTGCGTACCTTTTACTCGGTGACCTGAATAGCACAGATAAGTTATACAGAAAATGATACAGTTTTCAAATAAATCAATTAAAATGTATAACAATTATATTTAGTCTGACAATTTGGGTTTATCAACAAGTGAAACTCTTCTCTATTTTTAAATTGTTAGGTTCTTAAAAACGAAAATTTTCACAATAGTTTACATATTTGATGTACATATATTATCTAAATGTATTAATATAAAACAGTAAGACTCAACTTGAACTCAGTGTCATAATATTCATCTTCACTAAAGGCTTAATACATATTTAGATTTACCTATGTTACATACATCAAATAATGTTAAGCCTACTGTCTTTAGATAATTAATCATGAACATATCTTTCCTCTGTTAGAAACAGACATTTTAAAAAGCCAAGCATTTTTTAATTGCCTTTAAAGTCACAATTGCATAGCTGCATAAGGTTTCATTAATATGAATGTGACTTCAGAACTTTACTGATGAAGGAAAACCCGAGAAGCCCCTCCATGATTTATTTCAGGCACAGGAGCTGGCAGCTGGGTAGGACAACTGTCACTCTGGCAGCCTTCTCGCAGAACAGAATTTATCATCCTTTATGGGATTCTAACCCACATCTATATCGGCCAAGTGATTTGAGGTCAGTAACCTTACCCACTCACCCATGGAGACCAAATCACATCATTATCTACATGACTAGATACAGCACATGCACTATTAAAATAATCAAGGGGTTAACCGCAAAACTGTAGTAAATTATATCAAATAAAGACACACTTACAACAATTTTGCTGTCAACCCTTGATTTACAGACATGACAACCCATTAACCTTTGACCTGCAGATTTTCATAAATAAACTTTTTTCAAATCTTGTCCATTATCAATTTAAATTTTTGTACAGATTATCAGCCAACAGTATAGAGCTTGGTCAATCTGTATGGACCAGGCTCTGAACCGTTTGGCAAAGGCTAATTACTGTTCTGTAACAGCAGGATAAGGGTTAACTGTGTTAGTGGCTGAAAACTTTTCGTTAAGGATAAAAAAACAAACAAAACCAGGCATCTGATAACAAATAAAAGAAAAGAAAGAATCTTCTGAAAAAAAATAAATAAAAAAATAAACTTGTTATCATAATCAGGAACTGCGTCATAGTAATTATATAAACTATGCTGATCAGGGGCTGTAACTCTTCTCAAGTTTTATAAAATTACATTACGCAAGGTTTCAAAAAACATATTTGAAAACTTTTTTCTCTCATTGCCATGGCTTATACATTATACCAAAGGTAAAATTCAGTATATTTTGTCAAAACAGTGGTTGAGCACATTATCTGTATACTGGAGTATATTATTATTTTGTGCCAGTGTTGAGTGGCTGGTCTGTAGAAATGAATAAGGGAAAAAATGAATATTGAAAATAAGAATAATGCTATCATATCTTGCATTGAATTTCTTGGCATTTTGATTATAAATCACTTATTGTTAGAGAGGCTAATTATGTATGGACTTAATAATCTATTCATCAATTCAATTAACTCTATTAATATTATCTATACAAAAGAAGAAAAAAACTGATATGCATAATTTACAAAAGTAGAACTTTGGCTCATAATCTGAAAGTGAAACCGGAGTACAAGTAACTGACATATTTATGTTTTTTCTTACACATTAAGGACACAAAAATTTATACTGCAAATATAAGGAAATGAGAATGTAATCTTTACAAATATACCAAAAAAAAAAAAAATCTTCACTCTATTAGGTAAAATCATAGGCAAAAAGATCCCTGAAATTGAAACATTCTACATTTTGTAATGTAAGCTCAAATTTTTAAAAAAGCTTAATCAACATCTAGCAAATCTGTTTCCAAGATACCAGTACTGGTGTTATATCAGTAAAGTTGTTGTTATACTGCAAAAAAACCACCTTGCCCCATCCCTACCCCTTTTCTCCTCATCAATAGTCAGTGTCTTACAAAAAATGGAAAATTTGGAGTACTCCCCCATTTACAATGTCTTATCAACCTAAATATGACAGAGTTCTTTAAAAAAAAATCTTGTCAACTCAATATGGTTTCCAAACCAATATATAAGAAACAGAAAAAAGATTTTAAAAAATTGTATTTGAATAACTCAATTGATGGATGCAGTACTGTAAAATGTTAAACTACACTAAGATTAAGTTTGTTACGAGGCAGTCTCTACTGTACAGAGACCCAACAAAAATGTGATATGGCCTTTTACACCATACTATATTCTCTAAACTAAATCTTTAAACACAATATAAAATATTATCCGAAGCAAAAGTGAAGCAAAAAAATACAGACAAGAAACATAAAACATTATAAAGGATAATAAGATTTACAAAACTTTATAAAATAAAAACTTATGAAAAAGATAACTTGAAAGAAATCAATGTCCTCGGTGTAATTTGAACCCACAGATATTAAGAACAAATAGTTTGGAAAAAAAGCAACCCCAACCTTCTGGTCATTGGGCAGCCTAAAACAAAATCTAATATCCAGCAAGAATAAGCGTAGAAATATTTGTAAGTATTTCAAATAAAATTTGAGATGCAGATGAGTCTTTTGTTGAAACAGCATTCCTGTTTGTTAATTGACCAATGGTAAACTAGCACTCAGCAATTTGTCTTCATTGCTTTATTTTCATTTGCTGGAACACAACGTTCCTGTTTTTAGAATTGACCAATGGTAAACTAGCACTCAGCTATTTGTTTTCATTGCTTTATTTTCATTGGCTGGAACACAGCGTTCCTGTTTTTAGAATTGACCAATGGTAAACTAGCACTCAGCTATTTGTTTTCATTGCTTTATTTTCATTGGCTGGAACACAGCGTTCCTGTTTTTAGAATTGACCAATGGTAAACTAGCACTCAGCAATTTGTTTTCATTGCTTAATTTTCATTTGCTGGAACACAACATTCCTGTTTTTAGAATTGACCAATGGTAAACTAGCACTCAGCTATTTGTTTTCATTGCTTTATTTTCATTGGCTGGAACAGGGCGTTCCTGTTTTTTGAAATGACCAATGATAAACTAGCACTCAGCAATTTGTTTTCATTGCTTTATTTTCATTAGATGAAATATAGCATTACTTCATTCAAAACTGACCAATGGTTAACTAGAACTCAGCAATTTGTTTTCACAGCCTTCTTTTCATTGGTTGGAACATAGCATTTCTGTATTCAACAAGAGCTGTTGGTAGGACAGCAACGCTCGACTATTCTTAGTGCTTGATAGTAAAAAAAATGCTTGATACAGTTTTCTCCTCCTGTTTACAGGTTGGGGTCATGATGGTGAACAAGTGTGCAAAGTTTCAAAGCCATATGTCAATGGACTTTGAAAATATTTGAACTATTACAAAAACTGTAACGTAAATTCTAAGTCGAAAAAGGGGCATAATTCTGTCAAAATGCTTGCTAGAGTTACCTCCTCCTGTCTACAGGTTGGGGTCATGATGGTGAACAAGTGTGCAAAGTTTCAAAGCCATATGTCAATGGACTTTGAAAATATTTGAACTATTACAAAAACTTTAACGTAAATTCTAAGTCAACTTATTTTCATTGGCTGAAATATAACATCCCTACATTCAAAACTGACCAATGATTAACAATTTGTTTTCACAGCCTTCTTTTCATTGGCTGAAATACAGCATTCTTGTATTCGAAACTGACCAATGGTAATCTAGTATACAGCCATTTATTATAACCTTATTTTTATGGACTGATGCAATAAAGCGTTCCTTTATAATGGCTTTTTCTACAATCAACTAATGGAAAATTAGTACTCAGCCACTGGTGTCCATTCATTCAAGTTATGTTAGGCTTTCAAGACTAGTGGATATTTTAAATATATGAAGGTGGAAGAATGGGGTTATAATTGCCTTAAATGAAGCATAAGATATGAAGGTTGACAGGAAATTTTATGTTTATAAAAGGATTAAAGTTTTTTGTTGTTTTTTGTTTGTTTCTTCTTCACATGAATAGATAGATTTGTTTTGCTTGAGGACTATAAAGAGCCAAAGGTATATGAAGGTAAACCAATAAGTCATGCAAGAGGGCAAATAATCATTATGCTTTATACTGTGGTTATACTTTTAGCCAGGTCGGTCAGGGAAATTGGGGTAAATAAAAAGGTGTTTATTTTCATTCAAGCATTGTTTTATGAAAAGAAGGTAAATGGGCGTTTATATTGAAAAAAAAAATACTGATCATGCATTGAACAAAAGAATGTGTTACAGAAAATAAGGAAAGAAAAATAATTCAAAATAATGGAAAAGACAAATATGGCTCTAGGCTAAAGAAATAACACTACTTGCATAAAACGCAAAAAAAATAAATTGACATTAAATATTGAAATGCTGTTATAAGACTGGGGGGATGCAATACTCGTGTGCTATGATGATAAGGTACCATACTGATAAGCCTCACCTGCAGAATGAGCGCTCTATTTTCGCTCGGCGTTTCGATTCCTCAAGGGTTTGGAACTCTGTCCTACCGCTGAAAGGAATTTTTGTCTTTTTTGTATATTCAAGGGATGCAACTCTTACAGGCATTTTCAACTTTAGTTACTCAAGAGTTACGTATCATAGATAGCTTTTCATGTTATTTTAATGTGCAAATATTTGACAAGAGGGGAATTGAAAGCTGGGGACACAGCACTCAAAGCAACAAAGGTTAGAAATCATCAAAGCAACTTTTAGGGGTGTGTTAATAGTCTAGCATCATTCTACAAAATCAACAAAAAAATGCTGTAACGGTTTTTTAATTCCACATTTTGTAATCTATTTTTGTTTTTTAATTCCACATACTGATATTTGATGACATATTCCTACATATATTATATTTTTAAATGATTTTCAGTGAAAGGTCAATGATGACTTAATACCTCACTACTTAAACATTCGGCAGAAAAACAATTACCTGTGAATGTTTATTTCATAAAAATAGGACATCATTTTTATAGGATCTTAGAAATTCAAATCCATTACTACAGTTATATATTAAATAATTTCAAAATTAGACAATACTGCTAATGAATAAGCTGACAAAGAATTACTGTCATTAAACTGTACAATACTACTGTACAATACTGACATCTATAAAGTGTATTTTTTTGGTGTATTTGAATGTTGTATATATGAGATACCATTATAAAATATCCAAGTATTAAATCAATTTGAAATATCACAGAAAACCTAACAGAATACATCACAAAGGCCTTATAAACAATAAAGTCTTAACTACTAGACTCTTAAAATCATGAAATAACAACATTAACTATGACCATGACCAAGGGCTAAATGGTTGTAAACAGATTTTATTTAGAGTTCAATGCAATACAGATTTTTCACATTATAATTTAGCAGTGATGCTATGATTCTTTAAGATGTTTTGAAAGAAATTTGAAATTATATGTATGATTGGGCGTTATTTTTTGGCAAGAAATTCATTTGACCAATCATAGAATAGAGTTCCATATGAATATGGTTCCGTATGACCAATCATAGAATCTCATTATGAGAATGCATCTGATTTGATGCTATTTTTAGTACAAAAATACTTGACCAAAAAATAAATTTCTATTATTAATATGCATCTGATTGGTTGTTATATTTGGCACAGAAATAAAACTTGACTAATCATAAAGTCACTTTCTGATAATGTATCGGATTGGTTAGTATTTTATGGTAAAATACTAAAAATTAGCCAATCATATAGTCCTGTTATTTCTATGCACTAGATTGGTTGCTATTTTTAGCACAGAAATTCATTTGCCCAATCATACTCTAGTATTGATACTGAAACTAGTTTGCAATCTCATATTTACAACTTTTAGCCTTGGTCTTTACTGTATGAAATATTAATGTTAAAATATATAGAAAAAAAATTAATGTTAAAATATATAGAAAAAAATAAATAATGGTGAAAATGGGAACACTATTATGTTAAGGTGCAAAAAAAAATTAATAAAGTGAAGTGTTAACATTATTTAATGTGAAAACAACATGTTATTTCATTCCATGTTGTTAAGATTTGAAAATAAAATGTGAAAAAAAATCAAACAAAGTGCAGTCTGAAGAAAGATTCTTCAAAAGAAAATGTGTGTTAGTAATAATAATAAAAATTTTGTTACATTTTTTCAAAATTAACAAGGAAAAAATGTCAAAGTAATTGTATTAAAAGCCACTGTTCTGATGTTCTGAACATAATGACGGCTGTTTACTGCCATACCAAAGTGTAATATATTGTCTGAATAAGCGCCACCTCCAGTAAACAACTAATGGAGGACATCATTCTTAGTATTATCACTGAATACTGCCCCACATAGTAATAGAAGAATAGATTACACAATGCCATCATTTTTCATTTCCACCAATTAGAAAGAACAACAATGGTACATATTTACCTGTTTAATTACAATATTTTCTATTTTACTTAATTTTGGGCTATATCAGCATATTTCGGACAAGATAACTTTATTTTGGGCAGTTTACCTTTGGGATATGTTTACTGTTACTTAACTTTGGGCTCTTAAGTTCAACTTTAGCCTAATTCACTTAACGTTGGGCTTAATGACTTTACTTTGTCCCATTTTACTTATTTTAGTAATTGGGAGGGGCTGGTATAAACAAAATTTTTAATGAAAAGAATAACTGAAGACTTGCAAAACAAGAGCTATGTAAAACCACTGACACATTATACTATTTGTGTAGCATTATTAATTTTCATATACTTAAAATAAAAGGGGAATACTAGGCCTTTTTTTTTAAGGAATATTCAGAATATTCGTGAAATGTTTTTATCAGTAAGTTTTGCCTATTGTTTAACAAGTGTCATTATGTTCAAAAATCGTGAACACGGGCACGTTCAGCTAGTATATACAGTAGAGGTCAGATGCCTGGTAGTACGAGGGGAGGGGCAGCAGAAGATGAAAGATGTTAATTTGTAACAGTTCATGATTAAAATTCACACACACACACACATAAAATGAAAGAGAACTGTAACAAAGTAATAAAATGCTATAAAACAACTCATCTCTTTGCCTTATGCCTGTTTTGTCTTGAAAATTTAGAATTGTGAGTAATACTTAAGAATCTCAAAAAGTGATGGCATCGACTATTTAATTTTTTTTTGTAAATCTTAAATCAAACGGAATGGAAAAAGAAAAGGAATGAAAGAAGAAATATTTCCCATACATACCTGTACCTAAATTTTGACCCTAAAGAAAACATCTTTTTAGACGGAGGGTTTGGAGTGTGTAGACGAAAAAAGGTGTGATGTTCGACGCAGGATTTCCACATATTTTTACAAGATCTGTAACTAACCATGTTGAAACCTATAAGGTTTTCCACTGTATCATTCTGTTAAAGTAAAAATAGAATATATAAAATACCATCAACAAAATCTGATTAAACAGTAATGATTTCAATTTACGAAAATAAATTATAATTGACTGTGTTGAAACCTGTAAAGTTTTTCAACAGTATCATTTTTGTTAAAAAGAGAAGAAGAAAAAGAACATCAATATAAGTTACTAACATCTCATAAATGTGTACTTTGTATTATTCAAATATGTAGAAGTTTATTTTTAGTGATTATCTAACTTTGTACATTTTGCACAGTCAGACATTATCAAAAATAGCGCCAAATGACACTAAATTATAATATGATACCATGAAAATATTTATATGTAAGGCATTCTTCATTGCTATGTCTTTCGATGTATAGAGAATCTTAGCAAATGTAGGTTTTTCACCATCTTATCTCAGGGTAAAAACAAACTTTTATAGTTAAAACTGGAGCTACAATGGTAAAAGTTTGTTTGTTACACCCCTTGGAAAAAACCCAAATTCAGATTAACGTTTATTCTTATATTTCATGCCGTTTAAAATATCTTAACACCAAAGGGAAACTCTAATTCAATATTATAATATCTAAAAGTATTCAAAAATTCTGAAAAAAAAGAAAGAAAAAAAAAATCATACTTGTTCCCTTCTTAACTGGATGAAGAACTGTTTCCTTTTGAAGGAGATTTTTACTATTTTAGACCTGGAAAAAAAACAAACAGTGATGCATGTAAAAATGTTGTGGCATATTATTATAAGATCACGTTAAGGCATACTATCAAATATAATCATTCAATTGATACTAAACCCTCATCTCATTGTATTATGTATCAGCCATTCATTTGTAAGATCACATTAAGGCATTCTATTAAATATAATAGTTTCAAAGACTTGGTTAAAATTTAAGTCACACCAACATTATTAGCAACATTTTAGCTTTTTTGGTAGAGGAGAAATCTCAAACACACACCTTTACACAAATTTAGCGCAAATGACTTTTTGTAAACTAGCTAGATATCTTCTCGAAAATAAACAAATTAAATGTTCTTGACGGAATTTAAGCTCAAAGTAGTCAGAGGCTAGTAATTCTAGCCAGCAAACGTTAACAATCTCATCACAGAGAAATCATGTTGATTTAATTCAGCATTTAATTGATGCTAAACCCTTATCTAACTGTATTATGTGCCTTGAATCTAAGCCAGCAATTCATTTTGAACTTGTAGTTAAATGCAAGAAGATTTCAAAATAAATATACCCAAATTAAAGCAGGTAGCAATATTGGTCTGGTTTTAAGTCATATCAACACTATAAATGTCATATAGTGACTTTTCACCTTTATTATAAGAGGAAAGCATTAGGTGCACCTCTATGAATTTTCTCAGGCACAAGCGCGCATCAGAGTAGAACCACCAACCTTCCATAAGCTAGCTGGCTAGATTCCTTGTGTTAAGAGAGACTCTAAGATCTCTGGCAGGATTGACACTTCAAGTGGTGAGGGGCAACTGACTCAACCGACTGTATAGAGGCTTGTCAAGATTTATGGAGATTCACACTGGGCAGGCTTTATACTGGTGACATACCTTATTCATTATGATATTGGTGACATAGGTTACACATTATCTCCACTATAGCTGTAATACTTACCAAGGGAATGTGTTTATTTTCATATTATTTTGAAAGACTACAAGGCCAACTGACGTCACTCCTAAATGTATCTCTAGATTACTCTGGTCCTGTAAAATATAGTGTAAAATATAGTGTAAAAATACAGTGTCAAATATAGTGTAAAATACAGTTCAAAAATGTGGTGTAAAATAGTGTAAAACACATTAAAGTGGCATGACTCCAGTTGAGTACAATAAATCTTAGAAAATCAAACTAAAGAAAAGTATACAAATAGTTTAAGCAATGCATAAAAATTCACCATCTCAACAAAACTTTGAATGTATTATTCAAAATACAACAGAATTTACTAGTTTTTACCACCAAAGATTTGCCAATTACTATCAGAGTGAGAGAAGCTTTTACAAACTTTGACCACTTAAAGGGAATTTCTGTAGAAAGTATCTATGACAGGTATAATCACTAAATTTGTTCACTTTACAATTTTAACTCAAAAGAACAATTCTAAACTGTTCACGGAAATTAACACTAATTAAGAGGCATGCTTCTTTAAAGTGAAATTCCAAACAAATTCTAAATGATATAGTACAATCTGACCCATTAGAAATTGCAATTTATTTATTAACACCCTTAAGGTAGTCTAACTGTAATGCTTCCCACCAAAAAAATCCGTCAATATTGTAGCAAATCGGTCATTTCCGGAATGTTAATTTTTCAAAATCTTGGACATTAGATTATTTACAATCACTCATCCTGTATTGCACTATACTAAATTTAAATGCTGGTTATAAATGGTTAAAATTATTGAATACCTAAAATTGAGAACATTGTGAAAGAAATAAAAGCGTTCCAGAAATGACCGATTTATTAAGATATTGGCCGATGTTAGCAATTCTTTGACGGGAAAGCATTACAGTAAGACTAGTTTAAATGTTACTTTCCAAGCATTTCTGAAGCTATAAATCTCACAGAAGCACAGTAATGCTTTCATATAAAATTCAATAGCCTATATTATAAATTTTAGAAGCTTTACACAGATATATTTCCATTTTATATTTCATGAATAAAATATCATATACATGTATATACATATCCCTCAAAACAGATAAAGTAGCATTTACGTATAATGTCTTTTTATTATTAATATTTTGCTTTATATACCAGGACAGGACAAAAGAAGGTATTTCAACAATACCAATATTAATGAGAGGAAAGTGCAATGACATAGAATAATATAAATTCATTCTAAATATTTGACTTCAATCAATTAAAGGGACTCCACTGAGGTTTTTATACATAACAAGACTGGAATTTTATTTTTAGGTTTGTGCCACATTTCATGTAGATCTGGACAAATCACTAATGTGCAAAATTTCAGAACAATGGCTCACTCAGTTTTTATAGGAAAAAAATAATCATACCTAATATGATAAATGAAACCAACAATGAAAAGAGTTTCAACATTTCAACTTAAACCAGGCTAAAAATGGCATAAAAAATCAATTTTAGGTATTTTTTATAATCTTTTGCATTTTTTTCTGTTTCAAGTGCCAATCTCAAATTCTATGCTTTAAACCTTTTTAAATCTCAGTGGATTTCATTTAATTAATTTCATTAACTTTTCAAATTCATTGGATCTTGAATTAGTCCATCCACCAAACAATGACACACACTCTCTCTTCTTTCTCTCTCTCTAGTACCTATATGAATGTTATGTCTATAATCTTCCCCATTGAAAAAAAATAAATAAAATAAAATAAATTACAATGTTATATTACAACTATACTGATAAAATGTTAATTTTTCCTCTGTCCTGGATAAATAAAGAATAAAAAAATATGTACAATAAAATTGTTAGTAAAATGGACATCAGTGTTTGTAGTTACATACTAAATGCTGTGTGTTTTTAATTTATGGTGTTTTTTTACCTATCTTTATTTTGAAAATATTTTTGCTAAGTATAACAGTCATTAAAGGGAGACACAGGCAAAATTTTCATTTCTTAGTTTTGAAATTTTCATTCATTATTCTGTAAATGTCCTCAAAATGAATACACTAAACAGTCAAAGGAACAAAACTTTTCTCCATATAAAGAATAAAATGGTGTTTTCCTAACTTGACCCGCGTGGGTCAGGTTAGAGCGCTAAAATTTCACAATAGTTGTCACTCTGTACTCTGGAAACGTTAAAAAACATGTCAAATCAATTACTTAGACTTGTTTCAATCATACAATATCCACAATATTTGTTATTGTAACTTCCAGGGTTTGTTCAAATCGCATGACTTGTTTTTAAACTATTCGGTGATTCTGTTCGCGTCAAAATTTCGTTCAACATATATAGATATATTTAAACTTCAAACCCAAAATATATAGAATTTATACAGAAATTCATGTTTGGACTTTAAGAAATGTCATTTTAGGGTAATTTGAGCACAGAAAATCATTTTTATATTTTTGCCATTATTTTGCCTGAGTATCCCTTTAATTTATTATATTCCAGGAAGGAAATGGTTGTCTCCCCTTTTTCCAGTGAAAATGCTAAATGAAGTTAAACAGGCAATTACATGTATAAGAGTAGCCTGGGATTCAGCTGTTGATAGTTTTTGCTTATTCATAACATTTTTTTTTTGCTTATTCATAACATATGCGCTATTCTGAATTCGTTCGTGGTTTTGATAGTATCAAATTGCAAAACAGAAGCACATAAAAAATGGACAGACTGGTCAAGTGATAAAGCTGACTGCCTCTCAACCATGGGATCCTGATTCAAGAACAGCTGGATTCAATACTAGTTTCCCTACTCATAGAACAATAATGAACCACTGTAAAATTCACTCATTAGAAGATGTTTCATGCTAAATATCTTAGCTCTAGCTCTTTGAGTTCTTTAAAAGAAGATTTTTAAGTTTTTACTATATGCATATAGGGAAAATCAAAGACCCCCTGGGGCGGGGCCAATTTTGACCCCAGGGCTTTTATTTGAACAAACTTGGTAGACACTCACTAGAATATGTTTCATGCTTAATATCTAAACTCTAGCTATTTGGGTTTTTTCAAAGAAGATTTTTTAAGTTTTTACTTTATGCATATAGGGAAAATCAATGACCCCCTGGGACGGGGCCAATTTTGACCCCAGGGCTTTTATTTGAACAAACTTGGTAGACACTCATTAGAAGATGTTTCATACTAAATATCTTAGCTCTAGCTCTTTGGGTTCTTTAAAAGAAGATTTTTTAAGTTTTTACTATATGCATATAGGGAAAATAAAGACCCCCTGGGGCGGGGCCAATTTTGACCCCTGGGCTTTTATTTGAACAAACTTGGTAGACACTCAATAGAAGATGTTTTTTAAGAGAAGATATTTAAAGTTTTTTCTTTCGGTTGCCATGGCAAATCAATTACTTAGACTTGTTTCAATCATACAATATCCACAATATTTGTTATTGTAACTTCCAGGGTTTGTTCAAATCGCATGACTTGTTTTTAAACTATTCGGTGATTCTGTTCGCGTCAAAATTTCGTTCAACATATATAGATATATTTAAACTTCAAACCCAAAATATATAGAATTTATACAGAAATTCATGTTGGGACTTTAAGAAATGTCATTTTAGGGTAATTTGAGTACAGAAAATCATTTTTATATTTTTGCCATTATTTTGCCTGAGTATCCCTTTAATTTATTATATTCCAGGAAGGAAATGGTTGTCTCCCCTTTTTCCAGTGAAAATGCTTAATGAAGTGCAAAACAGGCAATTACATGTATAAGAGTAGCCTGGGATTCAGCTGTTGATAGTTTTTGCTTATTCATAACATATTTATTTTGCTTATTCATAATATATGCGCTATTCTATATTCGTTCGTGGTTTTGATAGTATCAAATTGCAAAACAGAAGCACATAAAAAATGGACAGACTGGTCAAGTGATAAAGCTGACAGCCTCTCAACCATGGGATCCTGATTCATAAACAGCTGGATTCAATACTAGTTTCCCTACTCATAGAACAATAATGAACCACTGTAAAATTCTTTTCCTAAAACAAACCAGTACTGTAACATATGAAGAATGTTTTGAAAGGCAGTCTCCTTAATGATTAGGCCACAATTTCCATTCCATTCAGGTATATACACACTGATATCCATTTTGTATATACTAATGGTACAAAATATAAACTATAATTATTATTAAATATAATATTTCTCGATGTTATGATAAATTTATAATCTGGACAGTTCGTGAAAATCTTGCCTTTGTCAGCCTTGGTGGAAGAACTCTATCCTTGGACATTTGTGTAACCTGGCAAACAATGCAATTATCAACAAATGAGTAAAAAAATTCTGCTTCTCTTGTAATATTCCCTATTAATGCCCCAGTGTTAATTTGTGTAATCATTTTAAGTGGAGCATTTATAAAGAACAATACAGTATCTGCAATTATGAAGAGATGACAATTTTCACTTATTACAATACTATTCCTGAAACTAATTCTCTTGTAACATATCATATTTATCTATTTTTATTTTTGCTGTCTTTTTTTCTTTCATTTTCCTTTCTATTTTTCATTTTTGAAAATGGGAAAATTCCCTGGAATCAGGGAATTTCGAGAAATGATACAGTATTTGATATATTCAAGCATGCCAAATATGTTCATTGTAATCATATGCCAAATATAATGGAGAAATGTCACATAGGAATGCTTAATACATGGGCATGATATAACTAATATAATAGATATTTCTTAACCCAGAAAAAATACATAGATTAAGAAAGAAGCTATTATATGAAATATTCCAAAGAAATCTACAGAATAAAACTTCTATGATTAGTCTCTAGATTTCCATCCCTTTATATCTATAACTCTTAATGATAAAACTATCATACAGACACTACTGTTTATGCTCAGATACAAAAATCCTTATTAAAGTCAAAATATTAAATCACCATTTGAAATGAGTAATTCTATTCACTATCAAAAAACCAATAAAACGATAAAAATTTAAAATTTTATTACAAGAAAAAAAACTTGCCAAAACCTATGTAATGATAAAAACAATCTTGAAAGCTTACCAAACTTAACAAAAATATCAGCTGAATTTGAAAGAAATTTCATCTTAAATACTGACATATCACTTTCTGTACAAATGTACTTAACACCAAAAACTACATGGTACATCATTCAAATATATATATACTACCGGTAAATCATTCCCAGAAAATAGGCACAGAACCCAATAAGTTCTAAACATAACAAATAACAAGATGTTTCTTTCAAATGTATTTTTCAAACCTAAATATTCCATTTAAGAATTTCAATTGTGCTTTACAAAAAATCAAGAAAAAACACTATTTCAGAAAGAATTCAGAAAGAAAGTGTTTACATGGCAGACATTATATATAAAGGAAAGATATGAAATTTCAGATGTTTATATTTTAGACAGAGATTTCATAAAAATAGCGAGAGAGAAAAAAAAGAATGAAAACCTACTCTTGCTTTGTGTAGATCAACACCATACATTTCTAAACGTTTTGCTTTGTCCAGATAGTTGTATTCTGCATCAGCTGGAGTCTGACCCCTGTAACAAAATGTTCATCATAAACATGTTCATCATATACATTTATAATAAAATAATAAGATTTATTATATAATCTATAAATAGCTTTGAAATGCCTTTCCCTGATTGGCTAACAAGCAATTTTTTGTAAAAAATAACAGGTCAATATCAGAGTATATACACTGTTTTTTTCCTAAAAATAGATTTTCAGAGTATATTCACCGGTTTTTCTTCTAAAAATAGATTTTCTGGAAATTCCCTGAAAGACGCGAGACTATGACGTGACGTCACGCCAAGTTTGTTGTTATATATTACTCTGGAAAAAAAAAATGTTGGAAGTCTCTTAAATAAAAGTCAAATAAGTCTATTTTACATTATAAAGAACACTAAGAATGAGCTTGCTAATGTACTCATTTAAAAGATAGGGCCAATTTATGGACAAATAAGACAAGCTGAAAAATGTTGATTTCAGTCATAGGCAATGGCAGATTTAATAAGCCATATAAAAGCAATTTATAAATTATTATTATATAATAAAACAGATATGTACTTTTTAGCTGGTGAATATAATGTGATATGTACTGAAAAATTAAAATAATATTGACCTCGGCTATCGCCTCGGTCAATATTTATTTTTTCAGTACATATCACATCATATTCACCAGCTAAAAAGTCTGTATTTGTATAATACATCTAATACTGGGTTTGTAACATTAATTTTCAATTTGTGTGTCACCAGTTCAGGTCTTGGCCAGGCTGCACATTTTTCTCTCTGTGACATAATGGACAAAAGTGATATTTATTGAAAGCAATTGTGATTAAAAATTTGATGTTAAGATTTTGACATGCTTAATGGCAGTGTAAATGCTCAAAAACATTTATACTTTCATTTTCTTTTCTTTGTTTTTCTTTTGTTAGGTTTTATGTCACACCAATGAAAAAGGCTTTTTACAAACCTATGCGACTGATGATGTTTTGCTACTTCTTTCTCAAACTCTTCATCTTGGGCTGGTACAAACCGAAATTCTGACAAATACCCGTCTCTGTGCTCATCTGGATTAAAGTCCCCTAACTCGGCTGTAAGATAAATATTCATTTGAAAGTTATTAAGAAATACATCACATTTATGAAGAACCTGCACAGTTTTTTAAATTTGTTTTGCTTCCTCAAATAATTGACTATATAAAAACATAAACCATCTGCTAAAACATTTATCTAATGGAATATATACCTATATGACTTTGGAAAGGAAATTGATAGATCCCTACTACTCTACAAGACATTTATTTTAATTCTACAAGACATTAATTTTAATAACATTAAATTTGATCAAAACATTGACATATGCTCTTTGGTTAACAAATCTCTTGTGGTGAAATCCTTATTGTAATCCTCTAACCTGATTATTAGAACTAGATATGTGATATGCATGTCCCTTAAGAAAAGAATGTGACTTAAGAGGCCCCTCTCTTCATTTCTTCAGATGCCTTTCATAGCATTACTGAGGGGGCCTCCTCTAAAATAATAAATTCAGATGTCCCTTGATAACAGGCATATGGGTAGAATCACCAACCAACTTTTCATTATCCAGCTGGATAGCTTTCTTACATATTTGAAGTTAAAAATGGTCCTGAGATTTAAATCACAGGTGTCAAGGACCAGTTTTGTAATTAGTGTCTTAAAGCAATTCCCTAAGTTTTTTGTTTTATTGACAAACAGGACTGGAAATAATTTTTCAGGATTTTTATACCAATTGATGTAAGTCTACACCAAAGCACTCATCTGCAAAATTTCTGATCATTTGCACTCTGTCTTTCCAGAATATCAAATTTTATTGTGCAAAATGACTTAAAATAAAAGCACAACTTTTAACTCAAATTAGGCTAAGAATCGCCTTTAAAAATAAATTTTCTATGTAGTTTCTTTAGATCATGTAATAAATAATCTATTTTCTACTCATAATGACTCAATAATATCACAATGAAGTCATTATGGCTTCTTCAAAACTCTACTGTTAACCAGTGAGAAAATCACCCAAGCTGCCCACGTTAGATGTACATCATCTTGGGCACCCGGTGGCACCTGATAAAGTATGAAAACAATATTGTACTCACACTGTACAGCATAGCTTGCTAGAAGTGCCGCTGTACTTCTTGGACAATGTAATCTACCTTCTAAAATATCACGTTTTACTTGAAGGAAAAAATGGTATCTGAAAAAAGAACGAGCATACAATAATTAATACAGTAATACAACTCCTGATTTAAGAGTTGGGTTTTAAGTAACTTAGTCACTATTGAATGGAGATTATTAAGCTTTACTGGTGGAGGTAGACAATATGAGCCCTGTCCTTATATACATCAAACGAAAGCCATAGTCTTAGTAGAACAACCAACCTTCCATAAGCTACATGGATAGGTGGATAGCTTCCTCAAAGGAAATCTAGCCAACAACCTAGAGGGTGTAGGGTAAACCTCTGCAGAGAGACTAATCTATTAGGTACAGTGTAAACCTCTGCAGAGAGACTAATCTATTAGGTACAGTGTAAACCTCTGCAGAGAGACTAATCTATTAGGTACAGTGTAAACCTCTGCAGAGAGACTAATCTATTAGGTACAGTGTAACCTCTGCAAAGAGACAAATCTATTAGGTACAGTGTAAACCTCTGCAGAGAGACTAATCTATTAGCTACAGTGTAAACCTCTGCAGAGAGACTAATCTATTAGGTACAGTGTAAACCTCTGCAGAGAGACTAATCTATTAGGTACAGTGTAAACCTCTGCAGAGAGACTAATCTATTAGGTACAGTGTAAACCTCTGCAGAGAGACTAATCTATTAGCTACAGTGTAAACCTCTGCAGAGAGACTAATCTATTAGGTACAGTGTAAACCTCTGCAGAGAGACTAATCTATTAGCTACAGTGTAAACCTCTGCAAAGAGACTAATCTATTAGGTACAGTGTAAACCTCTGCAGAGAGACTAATCTATTAGCTACAGTGTAAACCTCTGCAGAGAGACTAATTTATTAGGTACAGTGTAAACCTCTGCAGAGAGACTAATCTATTAGCTACAGTGTAAACCTCTGCAGAGAGACTAATCTATTAGGTACAGTGTAAACCTCTGCAGAGAGACTAATCTATAAGGTACAGTGTAACCCCTGCAGAACAACCCTCTGTAACGTTTTTATCTTTATACAACAAATGTATCAAATATGTCATAAAGTAAGACTTCACAATAAATTTAACCTATTCAGAGCAACACCTTCTAGCAACAACCAAAATCTTTGCCTACTAAAGGGTGGTTGCTCAGCACAGGTTATACTTCATCAGCACAAACTACTCTTAATATAACTCACATAATGAATGGTTGAATATAAACCTTTAACCTGTAGGTGCTATTTAATTGTCTGATATTCTTTATATAGAGGTATAATAAAGCTAATTTGTAAGACTGCATGCTAACTCATACAGATAAGAGGCAATAATAACTTGCTTAATGTACCAATATCATATAAGTTAACGTTTAACTTCAACAAAAGTAATTCATATAGACATAGATGTAATGCTTTCGGTTTGGTGCCAAAAATGGAAAAGTGGGATTTCTGCACGTCTTAAGCAAGCAGGGCCGGCAAACTAAATTGTCAATATTAGCAAGGTTGTCCCACAGTCTATACGGACAAGTAGACATTTTCAAGAATAAACTATGTTAATATCATATTACAAACATGTTTAGAAATGCTTCAGATTAAAAAGGTCAAATAAATCAAAATCATATTTTGCCATCAAGGTTTTGCCAAGCATACTTACCTTGTGTATTCTTCTGCTAATTTGCTTGGATCTGTGACATAAAATTTTACACGAAAAAAGAACTCATATGCTGGGCCTCTGCACTGCTTTTTTATTGTTTTCAGTGGATCAAGCCATCTCTGCAAAAACAAGAAACAAACAATAAAATTTTCTTCAACAATGTCTTATGTCTTAGGTGGCATACATAGAACTTTGAGAATGGGAAGTTATAATAATTCAAAGCAAATGAACAATACAAAACAAGACAAAGAATATTTTTTTCAAGCTTTAAAATGAAGGTAATACATAATGTACTTAAAGCATTAGATGAAAAAATGTAAGAAACCAGTTTCATTTTGAACATAGTGTAAAATTTAATCTTAAGCCCTTAACCATTTTGTTTTTTTGTTGCTTTTTTTTTTTTGTTGGGTTTAATGTCGCACCAAAACAGTAAAGGTCATATGGTGACTTTCCAGTTTTACTATTGGAGGAAGACCTTAAGTGGTCCCATGTACATTTTTTCAGGCACAAACGGGCACCTGAGTAGAACCACCAATTCTATTTGAATTTGTTACAAATTTAAAGCAACACAAGGGGCTAAGAGATGCATAGTCTCCAGTAATTCAAACCTATTTAGTTGCCTCGTATGATCAGGCACGGTTAAACATTGGCTGAAATTCTGATGTCTAAGTCCTTAAAAGCAACCCCTCGGCCACAAGGGGAAGACATAAATATTTGTTTGGATTTTACTTCACACCCACACTGTAAAGATCATATGGTGACTTTCTAGGTTTACTAGCGCAAGTATACCTCAGCTGTACCGCCATGCATTATTTCAAGCAGAAGCAAGCACCCAAGTATAACCTAAATTGTTACCTAAAATAGCTAGAGAACTTCCTCATATATTAGAGCTGATAGCCCAAATGGAATTTGAAACTACAGCAGTGAGGGGCAAGTGGTTTGAAGTCAACAACATTTACCACTTGGCCAAAAAAGTCTAGTTATGATAACTGGGTTCTTACATATTTCTGGTAAAAAAGACAGAACTTAGAACCTTCACCAATAATATACAAACATGAAAAATTAATATTCTTTTTTAAATATATATTTTGTTATAGATATATTACAAAAAGAAGTTTTCATCCAACATTAAATACTTTTTTATGAACAAACAAAATATTAAACACAAAATGATTAAAATTAGATACAGCACAAAACAGTTGAGATCTTATCAAAATTAGGGTTGGAAACCATTACTTGCAATTTGTTACCAAAATAGTACCAAATACACTTAAAATAATAGTATATATTATTACCCTCACTATTTTTGTAATGTTAATTTCCCATAGCCCAATAGGATTATAGGAGTTATTCTTACTGTTAATTCAAGTATGTAACTATGTAACAAAGTCTTTTTTCACAGTAAAAAACATGAAAAATAGAAACCTAAAGAAACAGTGTCCAAAAGAAGAATTTGTCGCCAGGGTGGGGATGGGGGGATAAAATAAATAGCACTTAGATTTGTGAGTAACAGCAAAAATATTATTCCTAGTAATAATACTGTTACCCAAGGCAGTACTACAGCATTTTCTTTAAATTTTACTGTCAATCACAAATCTTCATGTTATTTATATACTAATAATAAATAGGAAATAGGATAAAGTGTGAGCAACTGAGTGTTGCTGGTTCACCCCCACCCCCTCACCCCCCATAACAGCTATGACTCTGATGGTATATTAAAGTATACCAGTATTGTTTCACCGTCCCTGGTGCCATTCTGTAATGGTTTCCTGGAAACGGTATCCAACCCTAATCAAAGGGGAGATTACCCCCTTGTTTCAGACAAAGATATATATTAAATGTGAATGAATTGATTGGATAGTAAGAGCACAAATATATGTATACAATAAAGCAAAATCATTTAAATTAGAAAGCCAGTCTGCCACACAAAGGTGAAAATTTCTGGATAATAAAAACAATGTAACACCACAAACATTAAGCACAAAATAAAAATACAAAAGAGAAAGTTTGGGATAATTTTTTTAACATAATAAATATGTCATATTACATAGAACATACAGTAAGTTCACACTTATTTGTCTGTAGTCATAATTTCAAAACATATAATTTATTTAGTTTATTTTTATGTCTGGAATTTCTTTAAGTTACATCAACACTTTGTAAAGGTCATAAGCCTACTTCCTTTGCCCCTCATAGCATTATTTCAGGCATTATTGTGACCCTTATTGCATTATTTCAGACACAAACAAACCTTAAACCAACATAATGGGTTTGTAACCAACATGGATCCAGACCAGCCTGCGCATCCGCACAGTCTGATCGGGATCCATGTTGTTCGCTTACAGACCCTATAACAAGTAGAGAAACTGATAGAGAACAGCATGGATCCTGATCAGACTGCGCGGATGCGCAGGCTGGTCTGGATCCATGCTGGTCGCAAACCCACAACGTTGGTTTTGTCGTTGACGCAGCTCAAATGTTGCACAAGCTTCAAACTGACAGCCAGGGGTGCCAAATTTTTACTTTTTTTACTTGGTTTAAAGTTTTTTTACTTGGTTTAATTAGTAAGAATCATTATAGAATACCACTGAAAGACTGTAACAAAATTTAAGTGGACAGATTACAATACCTTACACTACTAATTTAAACAATTTTAATTCATTCAGTTATATAAAGGTGAAATAACAATAATAATAATAACAATAATAATGACAATGATATTAAGTCAGAAAACAATCAAAGGGAGAGAAATTCTACTGTTAATGTCAAGAGAAAAATCATTCTAAATAAAATTCTGAAAACCCGAAACTTGTATTAATAATAAAACAATGTAAAGGAAAAATTCAATAATTATAAAAGACAAATAGAAATATTAGCAAATTACAAAAAAAACATAGTAATTAAAAAATTTAATATCAGAATTTCGAACACATGTAAACAGACAGATTAGAGAGAGTCCTTAAATTAGAGATTTAACAGAGACCAAAATTTTAAATACAAGAAAAGTTCATTTTTTTTATAATTTATACCCAACTGATATATTTTTTAACCACAGTTAAAGCATAGCTGTTTAGGAAAATAATTAAAGGCAGTGTGTTCAGTTTTTTTTTTAATATTGCTACAAAATGACTTGTTGTGTTAGTACGATAAAAAAGGGAGGTAATGCAAAAATAGCTCTATATGGTATATAATAATATTTGTGAGTTTGTATTTATCACCAGTGAAACTGACCTCTATTGGAAGTTGCAGTACATTTTCATACAATTCCTCGTCCTACAGATAAAATGTTAAAATATTGAAATGAAAAAAAAAATCTGTCATATTATCTTCTTTCCAATAATTTGCCTTAAGTTAAAATAGCATTGTATATTCATTTTTGCTCAACTATAAAGAAATTGCTTAAAACTTGTACATGTATAAATTTTGAGTATATTTCTTAGACAAACCATACATACATATTGATTAGAAAATATGTTTATTGAACAATCTTTGTTAATATTTCCAGAATCCATGTTCCCTATGGGTTAACAAAACAAATTTATTTTATGCCTTAAACAATCCTTCTAACTATAAGGTTCTCATGTCTTAATTTATTTCAATTCAATTTAAACACAGCCACCAAGTTGCTTTGGCATCAAAGTTGTAAATTTGTAAATGATATAGTCTGGAACAGAGTTGACAAAGAATTATGAACTAATAACTTCTTCTTCAAAGATAGCATATTAAAATGTCTGTGAAAGCAGAAATAATGCATGCAGTCTATTAATTTATACATTTATACATATTTTTACATTAAGCCATAACATTGTCATGCATTTATTTTTCAAAATAATATAACATTACAAGCACTATCACTATGCACATTATATAGAATAAAAATAACACTTTAAAATGCAATGGAATTCATCTTCAATTTCACTCTAATTACATAATATACAATTATTTTAGCCAATAAAAATTTCATGATTTGAAACCTTCAAGACTTTTCATTCCCACCATTACTACAATTAGTAAGGATTCATTTCTTTCTTTTTCAAATCAGTAATTTATGAAAAATATCAAGCTCTATATGAAGCATGATTCAAAATTATGGACGCCTTTTATTCTTGTGCAGCCAATATTGGTTAAGTTGAGCTCTATGCATGTGCTGAGCATTGCCAATATTCATGGGTCTTTATAATATACAACATGTGCAAAGAAAAGTGGCAATTAAGTGGAAATGGACTTCACATTAACTTCATGAATTCTTTATATATTCAGTACCTCCAATTATTTATATATATCATTATATAGAACCATATAATTTCATGTGGAGTGGGAGTTGGGATTGTATCAGGATAGCAAATTACCTGTCACAGATAAACCATGTATAAAACATCTCAAGATGTTTCTTGTAATGAACTTTTCACCCTATTTTCTGTCAATTGTGGAGATAGACCTTGGCCCATTTCTTCTCCTCTGATTAAAAAGCATCTCTCTAGATTTCCCAATAGCTTACAACCATTGATTTGTCCCAGTGAATAAGATAAATTAAAGCAACTTGTGTAATCTCTTAGATATATCTGGTAACACTGGGGGTATGCCTTTAGTTTAAACTGTGCAGTATATTTTTTAACCATTGTCCTGCTAAATGGACCTGTCCAGCTTTAAAAATTTGAACAGTGTATTGATAAATTAAGAAATTTAAGTATATTAAGTAAAATATAAATTTATTTTAAAACTGAGCACAAACTTTATAGAGCCTGGTCAGATTGCATAGACACCTCTATAACGCTGTGCTGACAGGGTTCAAAATACACAACAAGTTTGTAAAATTTTATTAATTTCCTCCAAGGTGTTTGAGGAGTAAAAAAAAATGCATCCAAATATGCATTTTTTTATAAATCTCATCAAAGCACTTTACTAAGAAGTATATGGGACTTAGAGCAGAACATGAAAGTTTTGATGTTGAGTCCTTGAACTGATCCTTGAAAAAGAAACAAAAGCTCTCACGAAAACAGCACACTCAACAGTGCCGTTTACTCAACAGTAAAATAAGAAAACTTTCTTAGTAAAAAAAAGGCTGAATAACTGAGTGAAAATTCAAACTAGAGTTATGGGCCTTGAACAGTATTTTTAAACTTAAGGTGTGCTCCTTCAATCTCTGGTTAATGAGATATATAAAGTTTTGTGCAAAATTCCACACCAAGTGTTATATGTTATTGCCAGGGTAAGTTAAGGCTAACCCAACACTTCTTCAAATAGTCAAGCTAAAATTCATGACCGTGCAGCATAACTTTAAAGCAAACCTGCATTTAATGATGGTGTAATCTAATAGATTGACAATTGCATGCCACTTGTTGCAACATGTCTCAAGTTCCCTTTTAATCTTTAGAAAACTTAACAAAGAAATAAACATCAATCGAGACAAAAAAAAAACAACAGACAAAACTAGCTTACATTAACAGGCTTCAATCTAATGATGACTAAATTAAATGAAATTGCACAAACATTAAGAACAATTATTTGCTTCAGAAATGGGATACTGACCAAAGTACATACCATTTTATCCCTCACTACGGTGTCAGGATCCGGGGACAAATCGAGAAACTGTAACCCAAAGTAGTCCTTCTCGATCAATTCCAGATGATCAAACACTTTGTCCAGTAAATGCTGAGCTTTTGCTCGTTTCTGAAATAAAATAAAATTAAAGTTTCAACTACTTTAACACTGCAACTGATGTTTTCTTAAGTCTTAATAAAACATCATGAATACCAGTTGCACTGTTTCTTCTTAACGAAAATTTTATGACTACCAGTATTAGTTTGTTTATTTGATTGAGTTTTACATCACACTGACACAGTATAGGTCATGTGGGGACACTTCATGCTTTACTGGTGGATGAAGACCTCAGGTGCCCATTTATGCCTGAAATAATGCACTGAAGGACACCTGAGTAGAACAACCGACGTTCTGTAAGCTAGCTGGATAGCTTCGTAACATTAAAGAATCCAAAGTGCCTGTCAGGATTTGAACCCTCAGCGGTGAGGGGCAAATCAATAATATTCAATTTCATGAAAATATCATGACTATCAGTCATACCAAATTCACTAATTGTTAATACTTAATTTACTTCATGAAAATAAGCAAATTTACTTCACAAATATTTTATGACAGTTTTAGTTTTATCAGTTATACTAAATTTACTTTCATCATTAAATGAGATATATCTTCCATTTATACTTACATCTACTTCAAATGTTTCATGACTGTCATCTAAGAAATGTACAATACAGGGGATGACTTTTGGCTGGCGGTCTTGAGGGTAGTGCGCCATTTCTGACGCCCGAACATTATAGCTGCCTGAGGAGACCAGTCTCATGGACATTGCCTGATGCAACTCTGAAATAAACAACATAATCATTAAAATTAAGGTATGACCACTCTAATGGGCACTATAAGGAACTGAAAAATTGACAACATAAGTCAGATATATATGCCTTAATTAAAGGACACCTGCATGCAATATTTAAACAAAATATACTGTAAGGTTTACAAGTTTTCTGAATTGAAGCTGGGTTCATGTTTTTGTTGTTGTTGTCAATGCTATTGATGTTGTTGTGATCAATGGGGATGATAATGTTGTGGGGTTTTTTTTGTTGTCAATGGTGATGATGATGTTGTTGTTGTTGTGCCTTTTGGAGATTTTATATCATTTCCTCATCATAAGCACTCCATACTTTTAATAAAACTTTCATATCAGAAATAGACTGCAAATGTAAGCATATTATTATATCTAAACCTTTTCATTTCATATCATTTGATATACAACTACTGTAGTGTAAAAACCTCATAAAATGTATTTTAAAAGCCATAATCTTCCTTCATTTCAGATTCATTATCATAGTTTAAAGAGACAAATAATTGCCGTCATCCGTCCTGCTGCAACGGAACCTCAAACAATTTGTAGATACAGACCTATGATATTATATAATTCATGTAACGTTTTTTTTTTGGCAACAATTTGCATCATGAAAGATATATATACCATTACAGCCATTAATCAATTACTGCAGTAATGATACAGGAATGAGATAAAAGTCATGTTGAACCAGCAAACTGTTGAATGATGCTGTGCGAAAAATTCGAACAATTCGTATTTTGTACAGCACAATTGCAACAAGCAATTTGTTTGGATATGCATTCAACACGTTTGAAGGCCATGGCTAGACACAGCTCGCCTCATTTTAAAAATTTGTTAATTTTGACTAATTGATAAAATGTCTAGAAATTATGAAAATTTACCCAGAACATATACAGAAGCAGGTGTCCATGTCTAGCTGTTGTTATATAGTGGAAATATTTCACAGCAATCATGACAAAAAACTCATGTAATGAGCATTTATAAACAAGACACTGGACACATCATTTAAACAGGTGTGAAAGTGAATGACAGACAAGTAATTATAGATAATTATCAATATATTGGTGTATCATTGATATTTGTCACCTGATATCAATAAATCATTGATATGTTTTGTACTGAATCAATTACAGCTCTAGTTCTTGAAGGTAGAGCTTATCAAGATGCAAAGCACTATGCGGAAGGAATATCAAAGTTTTTTATGTTTACACTTGGTGCAAACATAATTTTTTTGCTAATATTAAAGAATGTTTGAAACTTATTTGGATCACTCACAAGTACATGTTACTTGACATTAACTACTTCTGGACAGTTTAGGAAACAAGGCCATGTAAATCCAGTAAGACTGGAATGCTTTTTAAAATCCGGGGTTGTGTTGAAGAGACCTTCCTTAACCATTTAGCATTATGCTACCTATGTTTTTTTATACATTTTTTGTTTGTTTTGGGTTTTACGTCACATCGACACAGTATAGGTCATATCGCGACATTCCAGATTTACTGGTGGAGGAGGACCTCAGGTGCCCCTCCATGCATTATTTCAGGCACGAATGGGCACCTGAGTAGAACCACCGACGTTCCGTAAGCTTGCTGGATAGCTTCCTCACATGAAAGAATCCAAAGTCCTTGTCGGGATTCGAACCCACAGCAGTGAGGGGCAAGTGGTTAACCACTTGGCCACGGACGCCCTCCTCATACAAAACTTTGTTTCAAATTTTAAATTTTTATGAAGAAGTTGATTAATAAATTTTGTCTATTCACTTTCTTTTCAATGATATAAGATTGGGTAAATCAATTATTTTTTATTTTTTTTTGCAAATCATTCAAATTATGCTTCCAACTTTTTAATTCAAATTATTTATGAACAAAAACTTATTGTAAACATATTTTACTCAAACTATAAGTATATACACCTAGTTTACAAAGATTTCATCTCTGTTTACAATTTGTTCCTAATTCCTGCTATACAATATCTCAGAATTAACAGGGCAAAAACCCACTGACTAGTTATTCCTTAGAATTGACATAATACCTGTACACCCATTGCCAAACAAACCATGATAATAAAATAACATACATTTCATTACAACCAGTAATTTGTAGAGCTGTGGATATATTTTTTTTCTGTAGTAGTAACTTTTCCCACAGAATTTTAGCTGGCAAAAGGACAAGCCCATTAAGGAAACAGATGTTACCTTACTGGCCACCTTCTGGGTAAACTATGTGTTGATGGCCCACCTGGTACACCATACTGTGACATAATTACCTGCCATAACTTCAATTAGCTCAGATAATACCCTAATGACTTTCTACCTGAATGGAAGCAGCCTCTCATACATACCTGAAGCAGGTAAGATTTGTATGTTTTTTTCTTTAGATATGATTTGAATAGGTAGGTGGTAGAGGTTAGGGAGAGGGCTGGGGTAGGTCTCTAATGTGTAAGGCCCAAGGGATAAGCAGTGTGTGTAAATGAAGTCAGAGATTTGTAGAATGTCTTCCATTGACAAACTTAAGCAATTTAATAAGTGCATTTTAAATCAAAACAAGCACTTCAAATGTTTTTTTTTAAATCCATTTGTTGACATACCTTTTACTGTATAAAAAAATGATGGAAACTTTGAACAAAGACATGTTAAAGGTCAAATTCTGATACACAAAGACCATCAACTTTTCATATGAATTCTATGACTGCCAGCAGCCAACATTAAAGAGTCATGTCATATGTCATACTGAAGCTTTTGTCAAGAAACTATGATGTGTCCATTTATGAAGGCAAAACATGCTACAGCCATGGTTCAAACTGTCAACATAGAGGTAATAGACAGAAAATGTTGAGGCAACAGACAGACAGACAAACAGACAAGACCAACACCACGCTGATTTGCGGTCATTTTACCACTGGTATGCCATTCTTAGCATCATTATGCTGTCTTACTATAGGACAAAATGATATCAAGTATCACAAAATGACAGGGAATAATTCAACACACATGTATATAGCTTAAGATAAAATTGTAACCAGAAAAGTAATTAAAATATCATCATTATGTCTCACCATGAAAATAATCGGCTCAGGAAAACACGGTGACCCAGTGATATAAATTTCCTGGAGAGAAACAATCCAACTTTTACTTGTGTTCATCACTACAGGGAATATAGTCAGGGGAAAGATCAGTCTACGGAAACATGAACAATCAATACTATTGAATATAATCTTCTCACAAATAAAATGTTTCAGCAAGAAAAGTGCACATTTTCAAGCCGCCTAGACACATTGCAAATTAAAGTTGAAGAGTGTTGTCTGTAAACTTAACTTATCATATTTTAATGGCACATTATGCTTCAGAAGTCCATATTTTTTTAATTCTTTCTACAAATTTCTTTCATAATATTTTGTTATAATTATAATGCATAAAGAGCATGATAGATGTTCAAAAACTGAAGGAAGAAGCGCTGAAGGTAATTTGTTGTATATGTAGCAAAATGTAAACAAAGTAGTATTTTGACTTCCTTAGAAATAATAATTCACTATAATTATACAATTGCTATCAGAGCAAACACAATACCTGGTGGAAAAGTGCTGACACATGCCATAGTATGACTTAGGAGATTCTGGACAGAATTTTTTAAAATAAACACTTTGCATTTATTAATTCAATTAAATTTGGGAATAAATCCATGTAAAATTGATGAAGTTTATGATCTGAGCCTAAATTAGAGCATTTATAAGTAGAGCAAAGTCAGTGAACCCAACCACCCTGTAACAGATGCCACAAAATTTATAATACCAAGAATATCCTGACTGTGAATGTTATATAAATGTCATAAATACCAATCAAGTTGGAATCTAACCAACTAGGAGTTAATTCAAGCTATGTAACAGTGCAGGTAAATACTATGCCAAGATTTTTGCTTGTCTTGGAGAGTTTTACAACACAAGGTGTGGAAAATATATCATATTTATATTTATATATTTTCATCCTAAAATTTCAAAACAGCTTACAAGTGTACAATTGTCTGTAAACTTGCAACTGCTTGATGGTAAGAGGGTCACAAACTCAATCACAACTCTTGTTACCTTGAACAATATATTTTACAGATGTCCTGCTCTAAATGAACAGAAGACACTTCTGATAAGCTACAACAGTCTTTCCTGGTGTTTTTTTTATGTTTTTTGTTTTTTTCTTGGCTGTAGGGGGGGGGGGGGTTCTCCACTATATTGAAGATCATAAATACAAATTGAACCTAATTTAACACCATAACAGTCTGACAATTGCATACAATATTCTAACACTTTTCTCTTCAACACATTCATATTTGACTACAGCATCAATTTCTGTGGAGAAGAATTGGAAAAACCATTAAGTTTCAATCATGCATCAGAAGCCTTTCATAAATAACCAACAGCACTTAAATGTGTCTGAAGATATAAATATAAACAACCAACACCACTCAAATGTATCAGAAGCCTTATAAAAACCACTAATACCACTCAAATAGATTATTAACAGCAAACACCACTCAAATGCAACAGGAGCCTTATTAAACATAGAAAACAATTAAACGCATCAGATGTCTTACATAAACATCAAACACCACTCAAATACATTAGATGTCTGATATTAACAACCAATACCACTCAAATGCATCAGATCTTATATAAACCACCAAAACCACTCAAATACACTCATCAGAAACCTGTTATGAACAACCAATACCACTAAAATGCATCAGAGGCCTGATATAAACAACGGACACCACTCAAATTAATCAGAAGTCTTACATAAAATACAAATACCACTCAAATGCATCAAAGGCCTTATATATACAACTATAATACAACTAAAATGCACCAGAAGCCTTGAATAAACAATCAAGAAGGTTCAGAGGCAGCAGAAAAAAAAACATACCTTCCTTACTGACTTAATTACTGAGTAAACCAAACATAACACCAAACATTCCTTCCAGGTTAATATATTTTTTTCTAAGTCTTATTATCCTTTGATCTGTAACAAAAACATATAATTCAACAAGATGAATGAGATTTTTGGTTTAAAGAATGTTATTACAGATTTCTGTAATAAATAAAATCATAAATTTAACTTCCTACTATCCTTTTTATAAAGCGTTCTTTCAAAGTATTAAGTTAATTATGTTAAAAGAAAAAAACAACTCTTTTATCTCTCCCTCCCTCTACCTGATGCATTGTTAGCATTGTTCCAGAAAGTAACTGTACCTGCTGCAGTGAAAAATCAATTTTTTCTGAGAAAACCGACAATTTAATTCATATTTCATATATGGATATAACAATCCATCTAGTATTAAGGTTTCATAGTTCATTAAATAGAGTGATCATACATTGTTTATATCTATGCTTTCTGAACAAACTCTTAACCGTTGGCTGAATTGTCTTTACATTGGCTGTACTTAATTAAAGCATTAATTATGATTATGAATTCAATATGATTATCTTTTGAATTAATAAGGAATTTTTAAATTCATTGACTTTATTATACAATATACAGTAAAATAAAGAGAATTGTTTGTGAATATAACAGTTGAGCTGTCCGGTTAGCTCAATAGGTAGAGCATTGGATCCTGAATCAGACGACCAAGGTTTGATTCAAGGACAGGGCAATTTTGTTGAGATTTATCATGAAATCTTTTCCACGAATATTAGCTTGGTACCTCTGTTTTGGCAAGTACGAAAGCTAAGTTCCTTGCGAAAGTGAAAAGCAACTAGTACACTGGAGCCGCGATATAGCGCTCATGTTGGGGTCCATGATCTCAAGACAGCGTTGTAACGAGTAACTTTTTATAACGCTCATTTTGTAATTATAGCGAAAATATCGCATTACCCCACCCACCGCCGAAACATATAACGCTTGTTAGTGGAATTGATTGTTTACTTACCTTCCAATGGATATCAGTCCAAGCTTTTTTTATATATTATTATTAATTATTTTGTAAAGCATTACTGAATATCTTTAATAGCGAGCTCGACGAGCTGGCCCGAAGGGCCTGCTCGCAAAGCGAGCTTTACGGTAACGCGAGTACCTGCTAAGTGATGGTTTTGAAATCTTTCGTCCAAAGTACCGAATTGGACACATCGCAACCTTTCGAATTTAAAGATAACGATAAAAACTGAGGAATTCTGACTGAAAACGGATGTATAGACTGGTCACCCGCGCACGTCTATGGGAACCATAATTGGACAGGGAACCAGAATAACGGAAGCTGTGTATAAAAAATGAAAATCGAAGGCGCCATTTTGTTTGAAATCTGATAAATAAAAACATTTTTTTGTCGAATTTTGTTGTGAAAACTATCTAGAATGAAAGAAAATGGTCTAACTAAGAAAATGAATCCGAACACCAATATCTTTTATTCAGTCGTTAACGCTGTACAAACGTTTAAAGTATTGTTTACGTGACGTCACAATGTAGCGCCAAACAGCACGTGCAAAACAAACAAATCAAGTACGCTATTTTAATGTCGCAAACGTTTTTAGTTTTACATTTATTTCACTTTAAATAATCTTTATTTCGCTTGAAAAATTATAGAGTGAAATAAAATAAACAAAGTTTTATCAACGTTTTCAAAACTCGTTATTCATTTCACGACAGGGGCGGAGCCATATTTAACACAGTACGTGTGACGTCACACGCACTCGTTACTGCATTTGAAATAAAAATGAGCGATTATTTCATACTATTTCACGTAAAAAGTACATCGAGCTCGCTTTGAGGCTTTGCCTTTTTCATATTAATCTTTATTTCGCTTGAAAAATTATAGAGTGAAATAAAATAAACAAACAAAGTTTTATCAACGTTTTCAAAACTCGTTATTCATTTAACGACAGGGGCGGAGCCATATTTAACACAGTACGTGTAACGTCACACGCACTCGTCACTGCATTTGAAATAAAAATGAGCGATTATTTCATACTATTTCACGTTAAAAGTACATCGAGCTCGCTTTGAGGCTTTGCCTTTTTCATATTATAAACATGAAATTTACGAATTAAAAATATAAACCACGAATGAATGTTTATAAATTTCCAGTAAAACAGCGGTGTTAACGTGAGTTATGTGTGGTCATGAAAATTGATACCTAGTGGATGGGACTAAATAGAGGATATTCAAGTTTTTTCTATAAATACATGATTTATTTTCATCGAGTGGTATGAAAATAAATATTTCATGAGTGGCGGTAGCCACGAGTAAAATATGATGATTATCATGCCATGATTTTAAGATAAATCGCGTATTTATAGAAAAAACTTGAATTTTCTGTTTATTATATACATTTTTCTCTTTTTTGACATTAAAATTTGAAAGACTTTCCCTTAAATTTTGTGTACTGGCAGAATTTAAAAGAAAGTAGTCCGGCAAGACACCAGTGAAAATACGGAAAATATGTTTCACTGCAGTGAAAAATAAATTTTTACAGTGAAAATACGGAAAATGAAAATATGCATTTTATTTCATCAATATTTCTCAATATTTCATTTATAAGTATATAATAAATTAATCGTCTTTCCTGCTGTCTCTTGTGAAAAAATCAGTCATCCTCAACAACTTTTTTGCAGATAGATCGAAAGTGCATGCTTTTTAAAATTAATTGTATGCTTGGGTGATTTACTTAACTCGTTGGTGTTTGCATGTCTTAGCTAACAGTTTGATACCTGACTGATCAACAGTTCAAAATGAACAAAAGAGCGGATTAACGCTTACCTGTGTATGACTTCACACCTTCTTATCATGAGTGACGTAATTATGACTGTTTATTGCACTCGACTGACACATTGAACAAGCGTTATAGTGGATAAGGTGCGGTATTGATATACATGAAAAAAAATTATAATGGGCGAAAAATACGATTTTTTTTTTTGGGAGCCAAGGCATATGAGCGTTCTACTGAGATAAGCGCTATACCGATGAGCGCTATATCGCGGCTCCAGTGGTAAACTGGTAAACTGCTTGACAGCATGCCATGCACAGGAACTATGCGATGGCTGATCGAACTATGCTCTGGTAAACTCAATGTAGCTTTCTGCTGGGATCCCCGACTTAAAAGTGCTAACACCAGTTGAATCATCTGTATAGAATCATTTACCATAATAATTATAATATTGGACCTTTGCAACCAGTACAGAGCTTGGCCAGCCATCAAATCTTTGCTGTTTGTCAATGTTCTAGTTACATTGCTTAATAACTCAATCCTTTGTGTACATGTAACTGTATATAAATACTGAAAAATCAAAACATCCTGAAATTGCTAATGGACTTTTCCAAATTCAAAGCTGGAAAAGTCTAATATAAATTCAGCAGGGGTAATAATGATTGTGTGCAACCTGTAAAATTCTACTGGCAAGAATTACACTTTGTAACTCAGGGTTCTCGGGGACGCTTATTTCGGCGTCCCGGTACGCATGTTTATTACAGCTGGACGCAAATATTTCAGAGCAAGGATTCCACGTACGCTTAATTTTGCCTGAGGACGCATAAACATTACCGATTGTTTACAGGCACAAATACACAAATGCGTCAGCGCGTGTCAGTCTATAGGTAGGCGGTCCTATGCACATCGACCCGTGAAGCGATTAGCCAATCAGCGATAACGCTTCCGATCATTATCACGCAATAGTGATCAGACTAATGTATACACGCGCTGTACAGTACATGTAATTACCAGATATAACACGAGGTGATAATTATATATCTTTGATCAACAGTTGATTGGAAATAAGCAAAATTTAACGAAAAAAGGATAAAATTATCGACTATTTACGCCGCAAGTTTAAAGACTGTTTTCTCAAATTACATATTAATTGCGACACGCTTTTGGACTCCAACTTTTTCAGGGTTGGGAGTCCATGGACTCCATGTTTTAAAGTCCTAGTGAGAACCCTGGTAACTAGAATAATTACTGACATATGATTTTAATCACCAACACCCTGTTTCACATCTCAGTGTTCCCAAATTGGAGGAGGGATGTATTAATATACCCTTAATATGTTTTCAGTAACCTAGGTTTATTTTGAGTTTTCTTTACTTGACTGAAATGGTATAATATTCTAGAAAAAAAAACAGAATTTCAGCCCTTAGTTTCAAATACTAGTGGGAACATTGCAGAAGTATTCATGCAAATTTAGGAAAATGTAGATGTTTTAACAACTAGAATTCATCAAAACTCAATCTTTCAAACTTACTTAAGGAGGACAACCCTGATCCATTACAAAAACAAAAGAACCTTGGGCACCAGTGATTAATTCAAAAGGATAATATTGTCCTATTGGGACCCAAAAATAACTGCATACATTCCCTCAGTTAGCATGCCAAGGTTACAAACTTCCATTAGACCAAAAATCAATACCAAACTTTTGTCAGCACAATGTTTCCACTAGAAAACTGCTTTAAACAGATTTCAAATTCTCTTGGAAAAGATTTCACACAATTACCCAGCAGTGTCAATTAAAATTTATTACGCCAATACATATTTATTATGCAATGCTTCAGAGAAAAAATTAAGAACATGAAAGAAAGCCTTTTAGCATTGCAAGAATGATTTCACATCAAACAAAATATTTAACTTCCTTGGTTAATACTTTGACCAAAACAGATACATTACCATAGAAACGTAATAGCTGTCACTGTGGCCAAAAACATCTTTTAAATAAAAGTCAAGCGAATTTACTGTTGCTTCACAAAAATCTCCTTCACTTGTAATAAAGGCAATTCTAGTAACACTTATAAATCATAATAAAATACTGGCCAAGAAGTCATATTGATCTTTTACTCCACTTCTACATTACTCTTATCCACATCAAAGAATTAGGGTATTACACTTTTGCTGAATTTTTACTCATTAAAACAACAATACACCATACAACATCTCTTTTACTAACCTTCTTCACAACCTGGTTCATTATTGCACACATCTGGCCCTTTAATCAGACAAGGACTGCCTTGAGTCACCTCCCTTGAAGTATTCTCATATTGCGGAGTTACCCTCCTTGAATCTAGAGGACTCATTTCCCTCTTACCACTTAAACAAGGACTGTGCCTCACTTCAACTGAAGTCATTTTTGCAGTAAATCCTTCATATGTCCTTATACTTCAAACATGCTTGTAATAAACTCTATAAATGTCTTACTTTAAATTCCAGCATGTGATAATAAACTTCACTTTCTTTTCTTTTCACTTCAAAAATCAGCATGCAGTCATCCCTCATACATTACAGAATGATATTCAATCTTTCCAAGCTTCAGGCTACATTATAAAATCCATAGATCATTAGATGTTCAATATTGTTCTTCATCTTCAAATACATTTGTGTAGCAAAAATTACATTTTCTGTAATGCAATTCCCTCAAACACTAAAATTGAAAAACATTTTAACAGATTGAATTGCAAATAAAAGTTTTTTGTTTTTCCATCAAGATATTGCTGATTTTTACTTCCGTGAAGAGAATGTTTCCTATATGAAAAAGCAGTTTAACACTGGTGTACAGTAGGAATCTATTCCACTAACCTATAAAAAATATCAAAATTGAAAACGAAACTGCAGTTCTATAAGTCTCAAGGGATTCCTCCATAATATAAACAATTTTAAAGAGAATTTGTATTATAACAATCTCAGGTCTACCACACCTGTCTGCTGTAAGTTAATTGGAAAACTCTCGACTGATTTTTGGCGCCATATGGGTACTGTTTACATCAATCACCATTACCAACACAGATTACCATAACTGGGACCTCATTTTCCTCACCTTTTACCCTTAACACATTCTTTCCTTTTAACAGAAAAAGCACTGATCATGAAATGAAATCTACAGAATACTTCAGTGAGAAAAAGAACCACAGATCCTTACAAAAAGATTCCATTTCCCACTGTGTAAGATATAATTTTTTAAATTTTTCTTTGGCTGAGTTTTATGTCACACCAACATAGGTCATAATATTTCGGCAACTTTATAGCTTTACTGGTGGAGAAAGACCTTAAGTGCCCCTCTGTACATTATTTCAGGTACAAACAGGCAGGAGTAGAACCACAAACAATCTGTAATATAAACTATCTCACATGAAGAATCTGATGATCCACCCTTGTGCAGCTCGAACCTAAAGAGGTGAGAGGAAAATAACTGTTTGAAGTCAACAACCTTAAACACTGGGCCATGGATGCCCCTAGGACACAAAAACAATGTGCTGAATATGCATTATTTAAGTCTTAAAGACTGATTAAGGTCACTTACACCCAGATATATAATCTATGAAAATAAGACAATCTGAACTCTCTTCAACCCTAGAATTAACCGAATTCCTGACAATTATACAACAAAACTGTTCTCAAGTGTGTAATGTCAATACTTCATCAAACATTGACATTTAATACAGGCCTGGCTTTATTGCAACCTTGATTCTCACAGCCAATCCCTAATTTATTATACCCATAAATGTGAACATTTTTTCTCAGAAAATTATGAGATGGAACATTTTAGCACTTAACTATGCAAGGGAGAAAATGCATATAATTATATCCATACAGACCTTTAAACATCATTGATATTTTTGTATTTGATAAAAATTAATCTTGTTTTCATTATCCAGAAGCAATGATATTGAACTTGCCACAGAATGATAACTCTGGATTTTATTTTTACAATATTTAGCTCCCTTGACAAAAGTGGTAGCCATTTTGGGGGTCATTATTCAATACAATTTTTATGTAATTGCAAAAAAATAAAATATGAAAATATAAAACAAACTAAACAAAATGCAAGCATAATTATTGCAGTTCAGTTACTAAAATTGACCATAATCATTTGTTTGATGTATCATTGTTTATCGTGTGTTTTTGTGTGTTATTTTTTTCTTTTTTCTTTTTGTTCAGCCCATATCTATTATCACTACATGACACATAAGTTAAGAATTTGTATCAATTTCATGTCATCTTTTTTACCATATAAAACATCTTTATAGTCCATTTTCTAGTCTACAGCCCTCAATCATTTCATAAAGAAACATTCTGATAGCTAAATAATGGGGACACTATAGCTAAAATAACTTCTCTATGTTTTTATTTATGAATGGATTGCATGCATAGGGGTAAGTCAGGATGATAAAAGCTATACACAAAATATTCAATTCTATTATATTACTAATTAAAGGAACTCTACTGAGGTCCAAGAGCCTAAAAATATAAAATTTTAATTACCTTCTTAGATTAAATTGGGAATTAAAAACAGAAAGATTATCAAAGACTATTACGAAATATAGTCAGAAATTGAACTTCATATTCAGAAATTGAAAACCATATTTTTGGGGTATTCTTATCTCCATTTGAGTGAAATTAGCACTTGTCAATTCTGGGTCATTTTTCACTGTTAGAATAATTATTATGGAAAAAATGGAGGGAGTGAATCACACAAGTTAATGGTCTACACTGTTACACCGTACATCAAATTGAAGAGTTGAGACCTAACGGGCTGTCCCTTCACAGATGATTTAAGGAACAAACAAACACCTAAGTATAATCACAAACCTTTCGTAATGTAGCTAAATTTACTAATGGTTAGCTTCCTTACAAGTGAGAAACCCAAGCAGGATACAAACCCTGTTACCCACAGTGGCAATGGAAGTGGTTCAAAGTCACAGACCTGTTGATCACCTGACCAATGTAGCTCTTCTAGAGCAATTTTGATATCAAAACCACTTATAATAACCATGTACAGTTCCAAATCCAAAGCAGGCCAATTTAGATGATTATTTAATATCAATTCACATATCTGGCTAAACTGGAGGAAAAAATCGACATGCATCATCCATCTTTACCCTTTGAACATTTACATTAGCAGTGATAATGAGTACCATGACACCTCTATGACAAGTCAGGTCAGACTGTACAGCATATCTTACAGTACACAGTCTGACCTTACTCTATACCATCACCTGCTTCTAAATCCAATATTTTGATATAGGAATCCAATAAAAAATCAATATTGGCCTGTTCAAAATTCACAACATCATCTAATATACAATTTTAGCATGGTCAAGGTCAAGCACATGATTATTAAGAAAATCCTCTGATCACCAAATTTATTGTCATTATGTATAACAGAGGGTATAATAGAAAATCTATAAATATTGTATTATTAATAATTCTAACACTTTCGGAATTTTTTCTATATAAACAAAGAAGGCCCGAAGCGTGCATTATTCTACAACAATGCACTCGCCGTTCTTATTATCTCCCTGTGTATTTTCACATTGCGGGCGCCATTTTGTTTGAAAAATCTGATAAATAAAAACAATTTTTTGTCGAATTTTGTTGTAAAAACTATCTAGAATGAAAGAAAATGGTCTAACTAAGAAAATGAATCCGAACACCAATATCTTTTATTCAGTCGTTAACACTGTACAGACGTTTAAAGTATTGTTTACGTGACGTCACAATGTAGCGCCAAACAGCACGTGCAAAACAATCAAATCAAGTACGTTAGTTTAATGTCGCAAACGAGTAAAGTTTCACATTTATTTCACTTTTAATAATTTTTATTTCGCTTGAAAAATAATAGAGTGAAATAAATAAAAAACAAAGTTTTATCAATGTTTTCAAAATGCGTTATTCTCAAAAAGTTTCTACACACGGAAGAATTAACGACAGTTTTTTCATACCACTGTAACAGCCTTGAACGTTTCTTTTGGCAACTCTGATGCGAAAACAAATTAAAACACCAAAAATAAAGTCCGACTTTATATTAATAACTATATTTTTTCTTGACGTGTGAGAATGGAAATAGATATTAATTCTTTGTGCATTATTGTATAATAATGCTCGTTTTTCGTTCAAATGCTTTGTAATTAATCACTCAGGCCTATCGGCCTTCGTGATTATATTACTACGCATTTGAACTCAAACCGTGCATTATTCTACAACAATGCACTCAGAATTGATATCTATTTCCTAAACAATCAACATCAGTTATAGCACTAATGTGATTATAACAATATCGAAGAACAAATCTGACCTATATGGTATATCATCACATTAATGCCCATATTATTTGAAAATGCTTCACAATTATCCTGCTCTTATCAAAAAGCTCATCCTACCAGTAATGAGTATACATGTAAACCTACCCCCCAGGGGGTGTGGGTTGGGGTTAGAAAGAGAATTTTAAAAACTTTTCTCTTTGTTTGTTTGGCACGTTTTGTTACATTTATTAGATAATGTACGGTAATCTCATTCTCTTGTTACAGTCAATTAGAAGCAGATGATTACTGAATAATGAAATTGAACAGAAACTAAAAAGAAGACCTATTCTTAGAATGTCACACACAACTTAACATGAAACACCCTTAAACCAATCTGAATCTGTTTCAAACAGACAACAATAACGGGAATATTCAATTATGTTAATTTACTATTGAACATCTGTTCCAATTAGAATTGCAATATGATCCTCAGACATGTGTTAACAGAATATCCATTGCAAACAGTTGGTTATATAGTAAATTAGTTATTGCATAATTCTATTTCTGAACCTGCTTAGAAAAAGCAACAGAAAAACAAAAATCTGAATTTGAGACCTTAATATCCTTGTATATATAGTCATGTACTCATATATCAATAGAAATGTCCAAAGTATTTTTACTCTCAGAAGCAGTAAATAATAAACAGCCTTATACCCCAGCCCTTATACCTCTCATTTAACCATAATTGTATGCAAACCTGTTTTAAAACAAAAACAAACAAACAAAAAAATCATTTAAAAAATATTAAACCTTGGAATTTGGACTGAGTCACTAAGTTATAGACATTATATTATCATATTAGTTTAATATTGTTTGAAATGCAAGGTACTATTAAAATATGCCTTAAATATATACCTTAAATATTTTATACTGACAAATAAAACAAAAGGTTCTAGCTAATACCTTAACTCTTAACCTTTCTATGTATTTGTTCACTTCCAAGTGAAATGTACAAAAAAATCACAAATTTTTCATGCTAACTTTTCAACTTGCATGCAAGAAATCCCTAAAGTTGCCCCTGCTTAACAACATTCCAAACAACATCAAGTATCTAAAATGACAAACAATGAACTTCACTTCTTAATGACATAAAGCAATCAGTGTAAAATCAATAAATTTAAGAGCAAATAAAAATTTAATGCCTTATCAATTCTTGCATGGTTACATTTCATTTTACAACTCTCATTACCATCATTAAGGTTAGTGATCCTCGTTTTCAATCACACCACCACAAATAAGACAGCTGCAGATTTTCATCCAATGTTGATACTGCAAATCTAAAAATATCTGCACAAAATAAATTACACTTCAATGTACAAAAACACTGATTAGACGCACTAAGCAAATACGAATTTCCTCAAAATGAGACCCCTGATATCTTAATACAGTGAGAATGTTATTGATTCACCAAGTACCACTGAATGTTTTGCTGTTTTCTAATAAAATCGTCAACTGGGAAACTCTCTATATGCTGAGATGCGAACGATCAGACTTTACTTCAGACGTAAATAAACAACTAAAATGTGTTGAGAAATTTCCAACGCACAAAAGTGCATATTCTACACAATAATACACAAACAATTCAGCATCATTTGAATTGATTCAAAGATAAACCTAGATACACGCATATTGCATTCCAAAATTCTGATTTCCATCCCATATATGGCATATTTTTGCTACTATCGCCTCACATCACTATAAAAAGCTCAGATATCCTCCTCACACCATTATTTCACACATTTAAACTTTTAAAACACCACACTATCCATAATTTCCGTACATTACCGATGTTGCAAACGGTATTTTGTCTCAATGAGAGATTTATACTATAATGATTATTGTAACTGCATATTCTAATAGTATTGACAAAACCGTTCTACAAAGAGATCAAATGTTGACCCAATGGCTGCGAGACTCTGGTAAAATTTCCAATAACTGAACAAGATGAGGGCGTTCTACTATAGATGCTTCAGCTTGGGGTTTTCTTTTAACAATTATGACTCAAAAAACCGCATGCACTTGGCAGTATTTCTTTTCTTAACATATCTCCAAGTCTCTCTTTAAATTTGTGTTGTCAGATTTAAATTTGACATCAAAAATGTAAAATCATGTAAAAACTTTGCATCTCTGTATTAATGGTGTTAAAATTCATTATATTATATATAATTTAATATCATTATACACAGTGTGTTATAATAATACACATGATAAAACCGGATTTTTATAGCATCACAACTCATAATATGAGTGAGAGAAAAGTATATATTATATTGTCACCCCGTTACAAGACAATTAAAACAGCATATTGTGATACAAAATCTCTCACAGTTTCCTTCTTCATCTTGTGCAATAAACATAATGATGGCCTTCATGAAAATTGATACAGTAGATTGATAGAACTTAGCTTTTTGTGACAGGCATATGCTTGTCATTCTAATGACTGCAATTTATAAACACACTTCGAGTGTTTTGTTTTATTGTCATTTGGGAGTCCGACAATTCTTGTAATAGCTCCTATATTGTGGATGGATCTTAAATAGTTGATGGATCCATAACAGTGGATGGACCAGAAATGGACAAGTGAATGGTGGATGGACCTTAATAGTGGATGGACCTATGAACCCATAATGGTGGATGGACCTGAAATGGACTGCTGAATTGTGGATGGACCCAAAATAGTGGAATGACCTATAATTGTGGATGGACCTAAAATACTCACGGTAGATGGACCTATTAACCCATAATGGTGGATGGACCACAAATGGACTGCTAAATGGCTGATGGACCCAAAATAGTGGAATGACCCATAACAGTGAATAGACCAGATGGTGGACATGGAACCAAAATAGTGGATGGATGAACCAAACATTACAATGTCAACAAAGTTAAACTGTTTAGCTTAACATGCACTGTTTCATACAGTTTTACCATTTACACAGACACACCAAACTTAACTGGAAAATGGTATTTTCCACAGAAACTATACCCCAGCCTGTGATCTATTAATGATGATTCCCATCATACTCACAGAGATAATTCTACACTATTACTGTTGTATTTCCACTGTTTATAAAGGTGTTCCTGTAACTGGCTACCTGTGATTGACTACAGGTGTAAACATATATCTCTCCACACAACATAATATATAACCAATTTAAAGTTCACCTTTACTCAATAGAATAATTAACCAAATTTATTTTTCTGTACACAGAATACTATAAAACCTGCCTGTAAGTGTATATTTTAACCAAATTTTTGCTCAGCACAAAAAAATAACACATTAGAAATGCATAGCTACATTTAAGAATGAATCAATATATTTTCTCTGCCCCACACAGTACATTGTACCTTAAAACCTGTTGTTAGTGCATATTTAACAAAATGTTGTTGTTTTTTTACAGTTTTTGTTGAAATGGCAAAAGAAACTATACATGTACTATTTTGGATCAGGAACAATTGTCTCCATATCTGTCTTCAAACGGACTGAAAAAAATCTTGCATGCTTTGGTTAAAAAATTTATGGGGTCCAAAAATACCTGAGAGTTTAAGGTCCGATATCCTGAAGTCTGCCATCCCGACAATGCTCGAGTCTTGTTCAACATTTTCTTGCCATTCACTCAATTGCGAATTTATCTGTGTCGACAACTGAGATAAAAATTTCTTCATCCTTCTGATTTTGTTGTGTTTATAATTCTAACATTTAATCCAATATACAGATGGTAGTGTTACATTGTATTCCATTTATACATAAATATTAACTGATGTAGAGTACTGGAAATGCACTGAGAAGTTGAGAATGTTATAGATAAGATTCCATATTAACAAGATATGTTTGTAAAACATGTATGCCCCCTATCAGCAGCCAATTATTCATGTGATAAGGTAATTATGCATGACTTCTGACCCAGTGATCAAACAATTAATAAGGGTTATCAAGTATCTACTGGTCATGACCTTGACCTTTGACCCCTTGACCCAAAATCAATAGGGGTCATTTTGCTGGTCATGACTAATCACCATGCCAAGTTTGAAGTTCCTAGGCCTAAGGGGGTTCTTTTATTATTGATCCGAAACCGTTTTTTAACATACAAGGTCAATGTGACCTTGACCTTTGACCCCAAAATCAATAGGGGTCATCTGCTGATCATGACCAATCACTATGCCAAGTTTGAAGTTCCTAGGCCCAAGTGTTCTTAGTTATTGATTCAGGAAACCGTTTTTTACTTACAAGGTCAATGGGACCTTGACCTTTGACCCCCTTGATCCCAAAATCGAAAGGGGTAATCTGCTGGTCATGAAAAATCACCATACCAAGTTTGAAGTTCCTAGGCCTAAGCGTTCTTAAGTTATTGATCAGAAACCGTTTTTTTTACTTACAAGGTCGATGTGACCTTGACCTTTGACCCCTTGACCCAAAAACTCAATAGGGTCATCTGCTGGGTCACCACCAATCATCATACAAAGTTTGAAGTTCCTAGGCCTAAGCGTTTTTTGTTAATTGATCAGAAACCGTTTTTTAAACCTACAATGTCAATGTTACCATGACCTTTGACCCCTTGACCTAAAAACAATAGGTCATCTGCTGGTCATGACCAATCACCATACCAAGTTTGAAAGTTCCTAGGCCTAAGGGTTCTTAAGTTATTGATTGGAAAAGCATTTTTACCTACAAGGTCAATGTGACCTTTCCTTTGACCCCTTAACCCCAAAATCAGTAGGGGTCATCTGCTGGTCATGAACAATCACCATACCAAGTTTGAAGTTCTAGGCCTAAGGGTTCTTTAGTTATTGACGGAAACTGCTTTTACCTAAGAGGTCAATGTGACCTTGACCTTTGACCCTTGACCCCAAAATCAATAGGGGTCATCTACTGATCATGACCAATCACCATACCAAGTTTGAAGTTTCCTAGGCTAAGGGTTCTTTTAGTTATTGATCCGAAACTGATTTTTACCTAAGAGGTCAATGTGACCTTGACCTTTGACCCCTTGACCCCAAATCAATAGGGGTCATCTACTGATCATGACCAATCACCATATCAAGTTTGTAGTCCCTAGGCCTAAGGGTTCTTTCGTTATTGATCGGAAACCGTTTTTACCTACAAGGTCAATGTGACCTTGACCTTTAACCCCTTAACTCCAAATCAATAGGGGTCATCTACTGATCATGACCAATCACCATATCAAGTTTTGAAGTCCTAGGCCTAAGGGTTCTTTCGTTATTGATCGGAAACCGTTTTTTACCTACAAGGTCAATGTGACCTTGGACCTTTGACCACTTAACCCCAAAATCAATAGGGGTCATCTGCTGGTCATAACCAATTACCATACCAAGTTTGAAGTTCCTAGGCCTAAGGGTTCTTTTGTTATTGATTGGAAACCGTTTTTACCCAAGAGGTCAATGTGACCTTGACCTTTGACCCCTTGACCCCAAAATCGTTAGGGGTCATCTACTGATCATGACCAATCACCATACCAAGTTTGAAGTTCCCTAGGCCTTAGGGTTTTTTTACTTATTGATCGGAAAACCGTTTTTGCTTACAAGGTCAAATGTGACCTTGACCTTTGACCCCTTGACCCCAAAATCAATAGGGGTCATCTACTGATCATGACAAATCACCATACCAAGTTTGAAGTTCCTAGGCCTTAAGGTTCTTTAGTTATTGATCGGAAAACCGTTTTTGCTGACAAGGTCAATGTGACCTTGACCTTTGACCCCTTGACCCCAAAATCAATAGGGGTCATCTACTGATCATGACAAATCACCATACCAAGTTTGAAGTTCCTAGGCCTTAAGGTTCTTTAGTTTATTGATCGGAAACCGTTTTTTGCTTTACAAGGTCAATGTGACCTTGACCTTTGACCCCTTGACCCCAAAATCAATAGGGGTCATCTACTTGTCATGACCAATCACCATACCAAGTTTGAAGTTCCTAGGCCTAAGGGTTCTTTTTAGTTATCACTCGGAAACCATTTGGTCTACGGACCGACGGACCGACGGACCGACAAGTGCAAAGCAATATACCCCCTTTTTTTCAAAAGGGGGCATAACTACCTGGAACTTGTCAAAGATTTATCCAAACTTACATTTAGCAGCACAATCATTTCATCAACAGAACTTTGGTACATGGCAACACTTCCGAAACAATCTCAACAATTTTAGCGAAATCAATAAATTAATCACTTTCAACAACTAAAAGTCTTCATGAAGATGAAAATTTCCATTTCTTTCAATAAATGTGTCATGTTTTAAAAGAATATTCCTCGATTATTCTTTTATTTCAATCATCTGGAATGATAAATTTAAAATCTTGGAGATAACATATTATGCTATATAAATGGTTGACAAATTTCTAAGTCCTTCAGGGTGATTGATCTAAGAACTGATATGAATAATTTATTCAACTATTCCTTGAGAACACTCCCTTAATTGCTTTGTTTCCACAATTCTGATTTTCATACTGCCCTAGATTCCTGAATTCAAATTAAATTTTAACAGATTCCTCTGACCGATTCCAGTAAAATAATTATATATTTCAGATCTTTGTTTGGCAACCTACTGACAATTAACAGAAAAAAAATCAAAACAAATATCTATTTAATCAGTTACACACCCAATAATAAATTTTAATATGAATTATACTAAAAATATCTTGAATAATTGATTTACTTTTCCAATCACAAGCACCAAGGTATTCAAACAATCAGTCCTATATTAAAACATAGTAACATGTACATTCCAATTTACCACTCCTGGTCCAAATTCAGTATCCTACATTCACTAAAAGCCAACCGAACATAGTATAACATTGTATATATTTTATTGTTTACACTTCATCATAATTTGTATATAAACATAGCTACAAAAAATAATTTGCCAGAGATCAGACC